AGGGGAAATAAGTAGAAAATTATGAGGCAAAATTATATATAGAGGTAAAAGTATTCAGTGGTAAAAAACATTGAGGTAAAACTATAAAGAGGTAAAACCATAAACATATTGAGGTAAACAATGAAAAATATTGATGGGAAATTATGAAAAAGTAAAAAATGATGAGGCAGCATTATTAGGCAGCAAGGCAGATGTTCTCCAACATTTAGATGATGTTACATTTGGTATTACATTTGGTTACTATTTTGTGTAGATATTATTCTTACATTATCATAATATCTTCTATGTTGTATAAATTAACTGTATTGTAAATATTAAATGTTTGTTGCTCCGATTGATTTTCAGGAATAAAAGAAACAATAACAATATAAAAGGTAAAAATTATAGAGTGAATTTTATGAATCAAAAATGTGAAAACTAATAAAGTTAACAATAAAACAAATAGTATGTTGTAAAACTATTGATGTGAAACAACAAAGCAGTAAATAAGAATAAAGTAGAAAAACAACAAAGTGGCAAAAATATTGAGGTAAAATAGTGCTAATAATGTACAAAAAATATTGAGGTGAAACAATGAAGTTGTAAAAATAAAAAAGTGGTAAAAACAATAAAGTGCGTAACATATTGAGGCAAAATAATGATGTACAAAAAATATTGAAGGGAAAAGATAAAGTGGTAAAAATAATCAAATGGAAAACAATGATGTGGTAAAATATTAAGGTAACATTATGGAGTAAAAAAACGTTGAGGTGAAACAATAAAAATATATCAGTGATCTCCCCAGCATTAAAGCAAGTGGGCGCAGCACCCACCTGAGATTTTGAAAATAGGTTTGCACCCACCTGAAAATCCATTTGCAGTATTTTGCACCCACTTGAAAATGAGAAAAATCATGAAAAATTGGCATATTTTGACCAATTTTGATCTGAATTGTGAAAATGAGAATTTTGCACCCACCTGAGACAAAATTCTGGGGAGATCAGTGTATATGGTGAAATTATGTTGTAAAATTACTGAGGTGAAACAAAGAAGTGGTAAAAATAATGAGGTAAAATAATTATGTAAAAAAATATTGAAGTTATAGTTATAGTTATAGTTTATTTCATAATATAACAATGTAAAGTACAAAACGTGTGCACTCGACACCCTTAGTAATTGGGCGTATCAGTGCTTATTTCAAAATGTGTTGCAGAGCAACCAAAATTACATATAATATAACATGTAACAATACAGATACAATTAATAGATACAATACAGAAACTTTGAAGTCTTGAGAGAAATAATTAAATAAACAAAATGTGAAGTGAAACTATAAAGTATTGAAAACAATGATGTGGTAAAATTTTATGGTAACATTATGGAGTAAAAAAACATTGAGGTGAAACAATAAAAAATATTAAGGTGACATTATAGAGGTGAAACAACAGAGTCATAAAAACTAATTTAACTCACTTTAATTGGTAAAAATACAAAGGTGAACAAAAGAGATTCTATAAAACATTAAATGCAGATATGAAAATAGCCAGTATGAAGTATTTCAAATCTAAAAAGGTGTACATCACATAGTAATTCTATCAGTGAGAGATAACAAGGTATGACAAGGTATATGGTATGGTAAATGATTCAAGACATTTTTGACCATGAGTTCTGACCATAAATACACTACACGTATTTTTCATTATAATATTTATGTTTTCTTTGAAATAAAGTAATCAGGGGCCCGTTTTTGTACCGTTCGTAGTAACGAATATTGGTAAGTTGATTGTTTAATTTGTGAATTTCAAAAATATGAATGACGGCATGGCTGCTTTTGTTCATAGATTTTATAGCACCTCTAACCCTTTCATAACTTTGTGAACGGCTTCTTACTTATTCATTTATATTGTGATTTGGGACGTTTGGTCATTCTCATTAGAGAACACAAAAGGGAACAGAAATCTAAACAATCAAAACAATTGAAAGAGCTTGAATGACTTAGATTTATGAATTTGTTACTCATTCGTAACTTTTTAAACATTAATTTTACAAATTGCAAATGTCCTTCCTTACCCTGTACCTACGAACAGTACAAAAGTGGGCTCCAGGATAATAAAAATATAAATCCAACTCTTTACAAAAATCAAATTAACTTTAAATTAACTTTATTAATCACATCATGGGCTTTTAAGAGACTTGAAAGCCCATGATCACATAGAACGAAGACTCTTTTGGATCATTATATGGTACAGAGAATTTGACAAATTGGCAAGGGCATGTTTGGTGAATTTTTGATCAATGCAGTACCATTTTCAATATATATCAATGATGCATCGCTACAAACGGAAAAAGGAACTACTACTGGTGGATGGCTTCATAGGAAAATTAAGTGATCATCCTACTGTCCTTCACTGCATCATCAGCAGGTGTCTCAGATCGTCACATTTCACCTATTAGGCTGTATGCACAATCTGAGTAGGGCAGCAATGGTTTGGTCTTATACATCACTCACTGAAGGACACCACTTGTCATTCCTCTAATATAGGAGATACAGTTTCTCACACAACATGCAGCTATAATCAGTAAGACTCTGTATGTACATGTACAAGCAATCTACCCTACCACGCGACCACATTTAAATGGGGTACAGGCTAAAGAGCTTTTGTGGTAATAATACAGTGCAAACTGTTTGATGAATCTATTAAATATATAGCAGAATACTTGGAAGATATGTAAAATCTAGTTTACTCTCAGAAATATGGAAATAAACAAACATCCTCCATTTGCAACTTCACTTTAGCCTGTATCCTTTTAAACATGATCATGTGGTAGGGTCAGATATCAATATGTTCCCATATCAATCCGTCAAATTTCAAGTGTGTTCCCATACCAACCAAAATAACGCCTTAAAGCCATACCAAATGTCCAAAAGTATGACCAATGCCATACCAAATATCCAGATATAAGACCAATGCCATACTAATGTCTAAATATAGGACCAATGCCATACCAAATGTCAAAAGTAGAAAAAAGCTAATATTCAAACAGAAGAAGGCCCTGAGAAGAAGGCAGATCTATGAGGGGATAACAATCCAAAACAACCTCAAATTAAGGATATGCGTAACTACTAGACCAATACCATACCATAAGTGTGAGGTAACATATTTTCCATGACCATACTCATACCAGAAAGTAGAAAAATCTGACCATTACCATACCTCAAAAGTCATAATTTGGGAGGTATTCTCATACCAGATCCTAAAATTTGGGTCCATTGCCATATACCAAATGTAAAAAAAGGTAACCCATGTGCTCCGAGGATCCGAGAACCCCAGGATTTATACCTTCTCCCTCACCATTTAGGAGCCATTATCAGAATCCAAGACTACAATATTTGTTGAATAATAATTTGAAATTGATGACAAATAGAAGTCATAACATCAAAAACGGTCTTGGATATTATATCTAGTACATGTATTCAAAAAAGACAGTCTCAAATGATGTGGAAGTTATTCATGAATGTATTTTAGCAGTTAAAACTTTATTTTATCATGAAGATTTTAAAAAGTCTGGAAATAGTGATTTTGGTTCCTGAAAGTTTATCACCAAACATGCCTTTGTATAATTTCACTTAGACAATTTAACAATCAGCATCCAACTCATATACACCCTATGCAGACTATCTTAAATGTTTTCGATTCTTTGAAAATTTACACAGAAAGTTTATCACTTTCAAAATGCAAAAATAATTAAAATGAATAGGTCATCTCGATAACCAATACTGAATAAAGTCTATAAACGGTGTATTAAGGCTGCAATTTTACATTCTTTGCTATGGAGAAAGGATGAATGCTTAGAGCATCACTAAAGAATGAAGTACAAAACTAGAGAAAAAATTCCATTTTTTAGGTATCATCTTCAAATTGGTGAATATAATTCAGTACCCAACATGCCTTAGTTTATCAAATATCACAAATTCAAATTCAAAAATGACCATTATACACGTCTTTAATACATTCTAAAAGTTCAAAGCATTTTCAGATTTTCCAGTTTCTAATTAAACGTCTATACATACACAAAATATGTTGCAATCTGTTCATTTGACCCATGACGCCATTATTATCAGTGATGAACACAATGGATACACAATCAAGTAACAGATATTCAAGAACTTTCACAAATGATTGACTACGGACCGACAAGCCAATGACATAATAATTCCATGTACAAACTGGATTTGTTGACATGAACAATTAATTGTAATTTTAATAAGGTAAAATCATAGATTTCTAAAAACGGTGGAAGATTTGGCAATTTTCTAGGGTTTTCCATTAGTAGAGTGAAATCTGGAAATGCAGTTTTTTTTTAGATTTTTCCTTGGGAAATAATCATGGTACACATTTTCTACAAGATGTTACTTAATTTTGTTTATGCTTTGTTCAACCCATGGATTTTGGTAATGAAGTTAAAATCAAATCACTTGAGATGACTTTCGCTCACCTAAACAACCAACTTGTGATGTGTCTAGTTCGATGAAAGCTTTGGTCCAATCGGTCTCTATTATGCTGGATGGTTTGGAAACATGGATGAAAATTCTAACAATTAACAGTTTGACTGAAAACCCATTGCTTGACAAGTGAAAAGGTGAATGTTTTTAACTATTGTTTAAATATATTATACATATTTGACTATTTGTATGTGGCAACTAATTAAACTACATGTATATATAAACTTTTTCTGTATAGTCATGTTATATATAGCATACTCGCCCCTCTGAATGTATACAAATGTTAACCCACTGGTTACTAATGAACCCAAATATTGATTGTTTTTTATTTGAATGATCAACAATGTTGATTATTTACAGCCTTTGAAAAAGAAACATTGCATGGGTTCATAGGGGTTGTTACTAGAATGTGTAATCAAATACCACAAGTGTTGCCATGTCAATGTCATCATTTTCAGCTTTTGATAAAGTTGCAGTTGAGGAAAGCAGAGCTGAAGTGATCAAAGATGAGCAAGGAGTGATGTATGAGAATAAGAGGGTAAGAAAAAGGAACACAAAATATCAATAACAACAGAGGTCACTGACTAAAGTTATGCATGATGTGTTGTACATATCAAGAGCACTTCCATGTTCTGTAAGTACTCAGTACAGAGTAAGTTGTAGAAAGTATCAGATGGAGTTTGGGAGCACAATTACCTATGTTTAAAATCAAATGAGAAACAAGATTACGTAAACCCATATTTGCAAGAATGAAATTATTCACTTATATAGCATATGAACTGTGAAAAATAAACATTAAATTTATCTTTTTCTTGTAATTTTATTTTGAATCCCCACACAGCATGCCAAAATTAAAGTAATAAAAATGAGCAATTTAAATTTCAGTCAATTGAGAAAAGAAAAAGAAATAAAAGAAAAAGAAAAATTGATATTGGGAAGAAAAGACAAGATGGTGAAACGAATAAGAGATACAAATGTGATACAGAAGAAAAGGCAGAAGAACCCTGGAAACTCCTAGAAGAAATAAAACTTGAGGACATGGAAATAAAAAACGGTAATTCAAGTCACTATAATTTGTTTAGCGAGATCAAATTGTTTATAAATCAGAAATTCCAAGGTATGGAGGGGTATAATATCACAAGAAGGCCCACCACAGCCTGAAAGGTACTGTGACCCAAAATAGAACAATATACAAATATTTTATATACCTTTGCATCTCATCACCAGTTATCTAATTTGATTTCATGAAATATATTATGACTGCTCATGCTCAGTGTTCGCAGTGATCAAAAAGTGACGAAATGTTGACACCGCTACGAGAGTTGATCACGATCGCACTGTATGAAATTATGCCTTCAGATGCAGTTTATCTATCTAATAATAATGTAACCACTAAACATCCATGGAGAAAGCTGGAGTCATTTATTTGGAGAATGTGCATGGCTGTACTTATACGTCCCCGCGATTGTAAAAGTCAAATTCTTTTAATGTACTTTCCAGTTTGGTATTTATAAAATGTACGATTTGACATCTGATTTTTTATAGTCATATTTTCACCTTGGGACAACTTATTTCATTTATAAATGAATATAAATCGAAAGCACATATTCAAAAACTAGGAACTCTAAATCGCATTTGTATCATTTTAGATTTTTAAAATACTGCCTTAATTCTGAAATACGACTGTGTAAACACAAATGCTGGATTTCCTGCGAGCGTCGTTGACGTCTTTCGTCTTGAGAAAAGCATTGCCGAATGTGTAATGTTTATGCACCCACTGCTCAGTACACTTAGATCATAGAATTAATAAATAAAAAACCTCCAAATCTTCATTTCAATCTGATCATGAATCTGAAAACTATTCAAAAATCCATTTAATGATTTAAGTTATTGAATTGTCTTAAGTTTACGCTATACACTGCACTAACGGTTCAGTCGTCAAAGGTTGATTTCTGAGGGCAAGCGCAGTTCATTCCTCAATATTTAGACATGATAAAACATAATTTACAATAAAAGTATGGATGTGAAATAAATTTTTGAAATACTAACCTTCATACTGATTACTGTCATGAAATTATTTTCGAAATCCATCCAGAAACAGTGGTGTAAAACGACGTCTCCCGCGACCAACCTTAACATGTCTGTTTGACGCAACAACTTTGCAATCGCAATGGTTTCAAGGTTATTTACAGAAAGATGATGGAAAAAGTTGACACCATAGCAACTTAAAATTTAAATAAACATTCAGTAGAGTCCCCATAGTATCACCATTGAAAAAATCAGAAAATTCTGATAATTTTAAGTATTTCTATTCTGCTCTCCAAGAAAATGTGTTGTACAAAAAATATAGATCAAAATAACGTCACTATTTGATCACTGTGTTTTTGTACTATTAAATTTAAAATGTGTATTTAAACATAGTTTCAGACAAAAAATAAAAAAATATCTCCTCATGTCCTCAAAAAAGCGGTAGATCTGCTATTTGGAAAAATCATAAAATTATTAATATTCATTCCTCTTATCGAGATAAATGCGTGTGTCGAGAATATACAGGGTGATGATGTATAAATGTAGAACTGATGCTGCTCTACAAATCATATCTTCAGTTTTGCATTTCAGACAAGACTTTGCTTACAAGTGCTACAAAACAGAAAGACAAGACATCTGAAGAAAGAAATGACTACATTGATCAGCAAAGAAGTAAGTCACATGTGCCATCTCCAAAATACAAAGTTTTTTTCCAAATAAAGACGTTCATGTATATATTGGTTTTAGAGTCTGCACAATATAATCTAAATAGGATTATAAGTTTAGAAGTAACAAATTTTAATGATAGTCCAGGAAAATCAGAGTACATACATGTAATGGGTAACAGAGGTGAAAGTTCCATCAATCAGACTGACCACTCTTCAAGTAATAGACCTGAGGAGTCTTATCTAATCTAATTTTATAAGATATCTAAAAAGAGTGGCCATTTTATGATATATTTAAAACAGATGATCAAAATTTGATCAACATTGTTTTGACTTTAAGTGGTTTTATATTTTTTAGATATTTTCCTGTATAAAATTGGTTCACAGTTAGCGAACAAAGATTATGCTGTTGGACTCCTCCTGGGCCTGAGTGATGCTGATATTGTCAACATTAAAAGAAGTGAGCCACTAAATGCTGCACATTGGGGATATCAGATATTATTACAGTGGTGGCAGAGACATCCAAACAGAATGCATGTGCTGATTATGATTCTTAGAGTTGTAGGCAGAACGGATCTTGCAGAAGCTGTCAATAGATTTATTGGGTGAGTTTAGGTGAACTACATGATAGTTTACCTCTTCAATATGTTTTAAATGTATCTGTAATGCTGTTTTGTTAAATGGGGTACTTTATTCGTTAATAGTTACTGGAAAGCAGGACAATTCATCATGAATTAATTTTTTGGTATTTGAACGCTTCACTGAGAATTTGGGGTGAAACAAATAGTTAAATACTCAGGAGCAGAAAGGTTCAATGTAATATCTTAATAGCAAAAATGATATTTGTACTATCCCTATAAATATTGACCATGAAAAACCTTTCATCACTGCTTTATTTTTAGCAGCACAGTACTAAGAAGAGTAGTAGGAAAGGATATTTTTTATTTTCACATATTTTTGATACTTGTCTATTTTCAGATTGGAAACTCCATGAGACAACACAACCTGCCAGTGAATAACACCTAAGTCAACTTAGTGAATGTATAAACATAATGGCTCGTGGAATTGAAATTATAATTGAACTAACAGCAAATCTTTACTCAAAACTTGGTGTTTAAAAAGATTACGTTGGTATATTTAATACAAGACTGATGGCGCAATCTGGAAAATTATCACTGACTGTCAGTGTGGTACCTTAGTAGTATGATGTGAATAAGCAAAGTTGTATACGTTATTGTATTATATATAAGTTTTGTTGACATCTTGTATCATTAAATGATTACATTATTATGTTGGTAGTGACTAGACATTGGAACTATTCATATGTACATACTAAGACTATTAGATTCCCTTAAGTAATGTTATCCTTGTACAATCAGAAATACAGAAAACTTATGGTACTATTTATGATGCAAATATCAATCAATACATTTCATAAAAACAAACTATACTGACCTCTTTTAGCAACTGTTGTTTTTGTTGTGGGTACTACTCGACTTGTGGCTGCACGAGCAGTTGGAGCACGAGTTGTAGCAGGGGGTGCTTTACTGACAGCTGACCTAGTCACTGAAGCACGACTTACAGCTATTCCTCGGCTAACAGGTGGCACCACTTTCTTTCCAAGTTTTGACGAAACAATTGAACGTCTTTTATTTGGGGCTTTAGCTTGGGCTTTCATGATTTCAACTTTTGCCTTCTTCGCAGCTGGAGCCTAGACATTAAACACATTTCAGAATTAGAAGATATGAAATAAGTCTTGGAACATTTGACTATTCCCACCTTCTCACATACACAAGTATACAAGTAATAAGTAGGAAAATAGATAATGGGACAAGAAGGAAAAACTAGATGCAAGACCAATTTCAACTGTTGTAATTTCAAATAACATATATGTATGCAAGTAATTTAGTAAATTTACTAACAAAAATTGATAGAGTTTGATCAACAAAAATGTCTTAATCTTTATTGATTACATCCCATAAAATATACATGTACAATGTTAATAAGAAGAATAGAGACCGTATGATAATATTTACTACAAAGTCTACTACAAAACAAATAGTTGTATTGCATACCTTTGGCACTGCAGGGGCATCATCTGCTGGGCTGATTGGTCGTTTGGTGGCCAACATTGTAGGGGGCTTCAACTTGCTTGGGGGTCTAAGTTTACTTGGCTGGGGGAGTCTGGACCCATTTACTGTATTAAGGGGTAGCCTACTCTATAATCGAAAAAATTGAAATGTACTCTCTGACACTCAGAGAGTTTGAATATTAAATTGACATTCTTCTATAATTTCATGTGAGAATTGAAGAATTCATGTGGAAAAAAACTGAGAAAAACAATTGGAAAATGCTTAAATTACAAGAGTGTCATGTGAAAAACATGGCTGTTGGAATTTTGTAAATATTTTCTTTTCTAGGTTTGACATGTTTATAACAAGGAATGGCTATACTGTTGAGCATAGAGATATGAAGTCAGACACAGACATGGGGGACGACGTCTCGTTGTCTCCCTGAATATATACATTGGTGGCAGATATGGGATGCCTGAGCGTATGTTTATATTCCTGGTGACAACGGAGCGCAAACCTTCAAGGGGGATGGATAGCAAGTTGCTACAACAGCTCAGCTAGTATGGCGGCTTTAAAGCCCTTTGGCTCAGTGGAAGAGCATTAGGCTTTGAACCTGAAGTTCCTGGGTTTGATAATGACAAGGAGCACTGCATTTACATTTAGCACATTACTCTCTTTCATATAGGGCTATCACTCAGGCGTGTTTATACGTGACTATCACTATGCTCGGCAGTTGGTCAATCCCAGTATGTAATTCCCAGAGGATGAGGTGCCCTTAGTCTTTGCAACTCCAAGTCTTTGTTTTCAGGAAATCTTAGACATATAAATAAAGGCCTATAGAATCTTTGAACGTAGCTTAGGCTAGATCTATTTTTGAACGTTTATAATTTTGAATTTTGTGATCATTTTTATGATTTTGAAACATGTTGGGGGCCTTTTCTTCGATAAACTAGGAAACTAACCTGAGATTCCATGATGAGTGATTACTCCTTGTTTATCCAAAGGTATTCCAGGTCAAATTCCAATCTGTTGATCGTAATATTTTGTTAAAACTTGGAAAATTGGAAATAATTTCAAAAATATTTTGTTCAAATTTTGTGTTCAAATATGGCGGATTGTTAGGCTCTTTTTGATTGGTTAAATTTTGATTCCATGATTTGTAATCCGAACTCTGATTGGTTTATTATTTGTTGACGTTCCACAGTCCTGCAATGGCGCTGCCCATATCCATGCTCGCCACGAATGTTTTTTCTTTAATTTTGTAATTACTTCTACCAGAGCCTCCAAGATGCAGTCAACACTGTGCAAACTTGTGCAGCGTCAGACGTATGATGTATTGTCGCACAAAACAGGAACATTTGTTCTTCTAGGGGGCATTATTTTACTGATGATTTCTGCTTTTCAATTTGGAGAGGTTTGTTTTATTATTTTTCTATTTGTTTTGAGATACAAAAGTACAAAATTCTTGGATATCATTGATCTTTTAATTGATTTTGTTATTTTATAAGCTTCACATGTCACTGAATCCTTTGACCGGATAGCGTGGCATTGTAATTAGTTATTGATTGATTGAATAGTGATAGTGGGGCATTCTAGAGCCTCTAGAATCTACTGAATGTTCTTTTCGAAAAATACCGAAGCTGCCTGTCAAGTCAGTTGAACTTGAGTATGTGTCACGCGTCAACACCTGTCATCTCAGTTTTATTATACCCGTCAACTCAATTATCAAATTAATGTAAGGGCTGTCAGGGGTTTTGTAGTAAAAACCGGGTACCGGGTAGTAAATCCTCTATGCTGGGTTCAAACTTGCTTTTTATCAAAAATGCTTTTTATTTGAAGCTTCTAGTTCAATTTTGAAGGAAGTTACATACGTTTTTGTAAATTCAAAACAAATCTTACACGTTTTCTAATTAAATGATCTAAATTATGTTTTAGATTCGTATTTTTCGGTTTTTGGGTAACTGTTTTTTTGACCGGGTACCAAGTTTGAACCCAGCATGGAGGATTTACTACCCGGTACCCGGTTTTTTCTACAAACCCGCTGTCAGGGCTGTGAATTCGTTAACCAAACTTGTCTGACCCAGTTATCTACTCCCCAATTCTGAAATGTCGTGGATAAACTCTTAGATCACAGGAAATCATGGCCCCATTTCTAATCAAATCAAAACCATTTTTACATTGACCAATTACAAACAATGTTGATTTCCAGAAGTTTTGAGTTGATGGCCCAGAATCAACTTTGTCCTTGTCACTTTTTCATGAATACATTTTTTCTGCAGGTTGCAATGGAATGGAGCAGGGATAAATATGCTGCAGTTTTTAACTCATTCAGTGACAATGTTGCAGGGAAATCCTTTCAAAACAGGTAATTATAGAGAAATCAAATTTGGGAAACTGTCAATAGTTCATTATCATTTCAGAAACTTATCTAATTCTTGTTTCTGGCCCCTTTTCTCCGAAATCAACGAAATGAATAAAGTAGACAAAAGAAATCTAATATTCTCCTCCTAAACAAGGGCTTTTCTCTTGGAATTTCTGGAAAGTTGAAAATTTCGATCACACATTGAAATGAGATATGAAATTAAAAACAACTACTGTATATGAATAATTCTAAAGTAAGGAACGTGTGATTTATCACTTTTTAAATTTTTGTCAATAAAAATTTAATAACTAGGTATGTTGCTTGAACTGTCTCTTTACTTAATTGTTTTACTTTATTCTATTTTGACTCATTGTTTGAAACATGGCTCCAACACCTTGAGTGCTAAATATTTTCATTTTAGGTTGTGCCTGCCAGTGCCTATAGATGTAGTATACACATGGGTGAACGGATCTGATCTGAATCTCCTAGCTGATCTAAAGCAGACAAGAGCAAATTTGGAGAGAGAGCTGAACATCTCAAGGTATTCTCCTCACTTCCCATAGCCCTTGCACCCCCTTTGACCTTTATACCATCCTTTATCAATAAGTCTCCCTACTACCCATTTCCAAAACATTGAGTTTTAGTGAGAATGAGAGCTGCAACACTTACTGATGTAAGACTTGGCTTGTAAAAAAATTGTAAAAATGAATGGAATAGTGGCAGTTACTGTTCATATTTAAATCAGTTGCCCTTAAAATAGGTTAATACTGTAGCTGTCACTAGCTGATAGCCCAAAGTTGCATTTACGAAAACAAGCTATCCTGCATAGTCTTTCATAATACCATTCATTGTACAAATCAGACCTATCACCACCAAACATATTATTAGAGATGGAAGCAAAATGATTTTTGACAATATTTCAAGCAAAATCTGTTTGCTATTTCTGACAAGACAAAAGTACCTCATAACATACTTAAAGTGTATAATATCATGTTTATTGCTATGCTTTATTTCTCCATTTACTACAATTATTGCCTTAATGGAATCTAAATCCCTCCCAAAATGCATTTAATACACTCAGCAATTTCTTCTTATGTTGTTAGGAACTCCAACACATCCTCTATTAAAAAGTAAGTCCTATAAGTTAATTTTATTAAGATTACTGACACTGGTCATTTAATTGATTGAGAATACGATTTTGCATAATTGAACCTGTTATTCACATAAACTCACAAGAAAGTCAGAATAAAAAAATGCCTCAGAAAAAGAATTAATTTTTCACATTAACTTTCTCATAGTCATAATTCATGTTGATCTCTTCCCTCTTGTTATCAATATTTTCTTTTACTTAACGCACAATGACTATTTCAGTGACGGTGACTGCACGTTCAGTAACTGTATTCTTGCCAATATGGTGGTCCTTGACTCCCCTGTCACAACTGGAATGAAGCTAACCCTTACATCATTATCCATGAAATATCCAAGTTTCATGGATGCTTCAAAATTAATTGTGGTTAAATCCCCACATGATGATAGGATTAACGTGTCAGTTGCAATATTTGACAATCAAAAGCAAGGTAAGTGGGGACTTTTATCGTAATTACAGTAGTTCCCAAAACAGTTTTTCCCATATGGGTGTAATTTGTCTGTAAACTCGTCATGATTAATTGATAAAATGAAAAACTGCTATATAAATTGTACATGCATTTTGTCTTTTGCTTCCAGTTGAAATTGCTCTGAATGAGTCTGTGAAACTTGGAGGCAAGAATGTGACTTTGAGAAGAGCATATTTGGTAAGTCAGCAGTGTGTACAGTACAAGGGGTATACAGTATTTTAGTAGTAGGTTACACTTTTTGTGTCGGGGGTAAGGGGATTTACATTTCTGACAGGCAGCATCCTATCTATATTGTACATACACATATGAAGTCAAATAAGAACCAATTACATCGGATTTCTCTCTTTGGTGAAAAAATAAATAAAAAAGATGTATACTGCTTGTTTTAGTAAATACTTCTTGTCTAATGAATGCATGATTAAAGCATGCAAATTGTAATCTTAATTCACCTTTCTGAACAATACTCTTAGCGATTGAATAAACAAAACCTTTCAGTGTGTTTGTTACCTTTTTTCACCTGAAATGTTAAGTGTTAAATACTGTGTTTTCAGACCAGTGATTGGACAGTTCAGCACAGTATCCTACTACATGACACAATAATTATGTCCGGATTTCCACATACATACAAAGTGGAGGACATCACTGAGAAACTGCCTGAGTTGTACAGAAAGTCTATAGAAAAGGTATTCAAAAGAGTTTATATGAGGATCCACTTATTTGTGTCATCTAAACCCAAATTTATGTGCAATTGATATAGAAAAAAGTACTTTTCATTGCTTTATATTTTGACTTATTATTTATTTATATTTATTTTTTGAATTATTATTTAAAAAGGAAGGTAAATATTATAACTTTTATAAATATCATAATTTTCTTTTATTCCAAAATGGTGATGCTACTACGTGTTTCTAATGGCCAGACCCTCCTTAATATTTCAACACTTATGGAGGTTCTCTCAAAGTAAAAAGAGTGAAATAAGCTTAATGAAATTAAGTTACATTTGACCTGGAATATTTCGCTTATCTTCTAGATTGAGCTGTTTGAGGATAAAGGGGTAGCAGTGCTACAAGTACCTGATAAAAAGATATTTGAGAAAATACTTGACGTAAGTGTAACTTTACCATTACTATTATGACAGCATACAGTAATGTTGCCATCTCCAAAAGTAGACTGGCAAAATTGTATACCTCTGCTCTAAACCAGAATTTCAATGGAATCTGTACAACTTTAAATGGTCTTTTTAAAGGGATGTCATACTTGATGTCATAAGTAAAGTCTCAGTCACATTTGCTATATGACGACCGTAGCTTCACAAAATTAATATAGAAAAACGACATTGTACTGCTAATCCCTATATTTTATGCTGGACATTAGACTCTTGATGAGGGGAGGAGGGCTTGATTCTTGCCATTTACATGTACCAGTTCAATCAATGTACAGTACACACATGTCATTTAAATTCATACATAACGTAATGTACCAGGAAACGATGTGATATTCTATATGTATGGCCTTATTTAGCCTGTATGATTTATATTTCAGGAAAGCAATATCACATTGGATGGTAAAGAGCCTACACTAAATGCTGCCAATCTTGTTTGGGATCTCAATGATGTATGTAGATTATACACCTGAATTTATTATGAGATTCACCTATAACTATAAATAATGAATGAAAAAGATTATTAAATTGAACGGAATAGTTGTTTAAGTATAGACCTCTCATTTGTCATTATGAGATTCACTTATAACTATAAAAAATGAAATGAAAAAGATTATTCAATTGAACGGAATAGTTGTTTAAGTATAGACCTCTCATTTGTCAGTATGCAAAGGTGATTTTGCGTTGCATACATGGTAAGCCTATGTCTGGCTGTCCATACACATGTGTTCAATTAACAACTTTTATATCAATGTTCATAATCCTCATATCCATTTTATGGGTGTCTATGCCAGTAAGATTTGGATACTTTTGCCTCATTTTTGAGAAATCAGCTTTTTCACCATGTGAGCGCTCCATATGATTCCATATATTCAGAGGAAAGAGTATAGTTTAATTTCCATTTTTTATGAAGAGGATGGGGACTGACAAGACTTTTATACGTTATATGTACTTTTATGACAGCATTACATATTTACTGAAGACATAAGAGAATCTTTTACACATATTCCAAGAGTTTGATAATACATATGAATCATTATCCTCTAATAAGTACCATTGATCTTATGTTATCTGATCTGCTAAAACATTAGATTGATTCACCACACCTCTTTTTACATGTCACTTTAAAACATGCTTTGGATTTCAGGATCGTATGGATGAAGACATCAGTACAAGCCGCTTTGAAGACAATGAGGTATCTATGCATTTACTGATTTATGCTAATAATTCTCTTATAGTAATGGTGTTTAAAGGCAGAATCAGATCTATAGGGGTGACAAAATTACCAGCAATGTGCATAATTGACCTACCAATCTATTCCTTACTATATCAAATACAATATCTCCCAAAAGATTCACAATATGTTATAAATTGGTGAAGTTATTAATGATTCAAAGTGCATAAATGGGTGCATAAAATATTCTTATTTTGAAACAATTTTTTGTTTAACCTGCTCGCTATCTCTGATTCTCTCTTTAAGTTATTGATTTAGGTGAGAAATAGTAATAACTTGAAGTCAATTGAAGTAAAATGTGCAAGAGAATGGATGCAAGGAAGTCAGTGTAAGGAAATATATATGGGTCTGAAAAGAAATTATGGGTCTTAAAGGGAATTGTGTGCAGTGTATTAGATTTAAGTCATATGAACATGTGTGTTGACGGATGGGAAAGACTTTTATAAACTGAGTGTTACGAACTTTTCACCCTGCAGGGGTGTAGCCAGGAAATGTCAAGGGGGGTGCGACTTTTTGGGTTTGCATCACTGCCAGCCCCAAAAAAAGGGGGGGGGGTATGGGGATTCAACCCTGGAAATTTAAAAAATTTACATTGTACAGTATATAGAGCATTCTAAGCTTTTCTGACGACAATTTATAAAATGGCTTTTTTCGCCCCAATTGCACCCCCTGGCTATGCCCATGTCCTGATGGCATGTGCCAATTTTCGACAGTGTGCAACACTTTATTGCTGTTACACTTTAGAGATCAGAGAATCATACATTAAATATGTTATTTCAGGAATTACGCTATTCGCTGCGGTCTATCGACAGATTTGCTCCCTGGGTACGGCATATCTACATAGTGACGAATGGTCAGATACCCGGCTGGCTGAACCTTGACCATCCAAGACTGACTGTTGTCACTCATCAGGTAACTTAACCTTATTATGATGTTGTCAGGGATCACATTGAAATTGGTGTTAAGCAGGGTGTGTCATAAGGATTTCAGACCTGCAAGGTCTTTGAATGACACATAGCACTAGTGTTAAAGCAGATATGAAATGGTATTTTTAACCTAAAGGAATCAATATAATTTTTTGATAGATGTATTTGGACATGTTTTCTCATCAGTAGTGTGAAAACTATTTCACTCTAACGATCGTTATAGCTGCTTAATAAGCAATATTCGAATTGGTTGTGACGTTATTGGCCCCCACGTGATCTCTAACTGGTCCCCACGTGGCCCGTTTTGGTCCATTAGATCATGACGTCATAATGCCAAAATGTTTTGTTATTTGTTTACATAACAAGCCGTGACGTTGTGATTACCAAGGAACTAATAAACCAAAGCTATATTTTGTATATGACGTTACTAATCACGTGGGGGCCAATTTGATTGATCAGTTAGTTTTATTTCGTTATCTATGACCGTTAGCAGTTATCTAACATTTATTTTATAATGGCTATCGCAAGAAATCTACGTTGGGCTTACAATGGAGAAAACCGCATTTTTGTAGCTGCAAGTTGAGAAAAGCTATTTCAGTTGTCCTTTAATATCCAGTATTTGCCATAAGGAATAGGTTAACCCCAATCAAAAGTAACTGACCACCTGCACTTATGTTGTACCCTATTTGAACCTTAAATGACTTGAATAATCTTTATGAATGGTATGATTGGTAAGGTGACCAAGTAATATTGCTAAACCTCTAAAAATAAACTGACTGCAAGAAACCTCATTGACTAAAAGAGTTCATTGCAACTTTGTTTGTAACTTTGTTAATCATTTCTAAGAATCAGTTTTATCACTACACTGAAGTCAAAACAAAAAGTCTATTTTTGGCTGTCCAAATAATTTATTTTCCATTTGTATTTCTACAAGTTTATTTCACAAATGTAATATTTCCTGTGTGCACACTTGTTGTCATTCCATGTATGTTTCCAGGCACCAATATGCACACAATTCTCATTATTGTTCTCATTGTCGGGTTGTCCATTTCCCCAATGCGTATATCCCATTGGTTTAGAGGTGAATCCCAATCCTGCAGCTGCCCACTTCCATCCTTCTCCTGCCAGGTTATTTCCGCCTAAATTATAAAACTCAATGAATTTACTTGGTTTTACTTTCTTTAAAATTGAGTGAGTACATGTGAGTGAGTACATGTATTACAGATGTATATTTCCATGTGTGATTTTATTTTATTTATGGTGTTGGGTTTGATGCTAGTTTCATATAAGAAATATGCTTGCTCAACTATCAAATGAAGTGTCATGGTGTAAAAACAAGAAATGAAATGGAAATGAATGGACATGCCAGGGAAGAACAACTTCAACATGCATTTTCTGAGATTAAATTATTAAAAATTGTGTAGAAACACCAGAAAATCAGGCAGTTTGTTCAAATGTAAAAAGTAAATTTGCACATACCAATCCAAATATGATAGGGCAGTCCTTTTTTGCCATCAGCAGTGATCTTAGCACTCAAATAGTTCTGCTCAGCCTCAGATTCTATGGCTACCAAATGTGCATTTAGGTTAAAACATGCAATATTGGCATTGCACCATGTCGCTGTTCTGGTATATTCAAACTTGTAGCAGGAGTTCCCATGCTTTATGAAGTTACTTGGACAGCCCCACTGAAAGGATTTTGAATCAAATATTGAATTCCTAATCCTTCTTTACAATGGAAACAACATTGAACATTTTTTAATGAGAAATATATACAATCTATAAAAGTTATTTTTGATTTTTGATTGATCTTTTTATTTTTGATTAGTCGCTGTACCCATTTACTTAATATTGTAAAATTAATCTCTGTTCACGGAACATGTCCTTAGTCCCTAAGCTGAACACAATTCTACACACACAGGCTTTACTGGAAATGATTTAAAAAACTTGAAATGCTGAAATTACTTTTGGTGTAGTGCAGCCAGCATCATTTCTATCAACACAAAGGAATATCAATCCAATGAAGAGGAACATCTTAACCATTTGGTACATCATATCCCAAACTTGCACTGGTTAATACTAAATAACACATACTACTACAATATACATGTATTTAAAATTTAAATTGGAGGATGGACAATTTTAATTTATTGCAAATTGCAAAAACTCCTCATCCACAAATAACACTCTTCATTTATACTGATTTTCTGCCTATTCAGAAGTAATTGTTTGCAATGTGGGATATACGGTAACATTTCTATTTAGAATGTTTGTACTTACATTTTATGTCTGAATCCAAGGGGAAAGTAGGTGCTCACTTACTAACTGTGATACTGTTACAATATGCTTTATATAAAAACTTAATGGATTTCTATGAAACTTATATCTGTTCCAGAAGAACACTGTTGATAACCAATCAGATTTGAACATTTGTTTTTTAACCATAACAGTACGTTGTGTGGTATGTCATTTGCAATGAAAATAATGTGGTAATTTTATTCAAACAATATATTCTATTTTTGCAGCATAATAAGTCATGTTGATTGTGAATCATTTGAATGACCCAAATTCATAGGAGAAAAACACATAACATTTCCCTTTTAAGTGACAGTGACTTTTGAAAAATTGTTGAAATTTTCAACTCTGTTATCAAAGAATATTCTGAAATAGACATTTAAAGTGACCTCAGCTAGCTATATTATAAGAATATTGGAAACATTCAACTACTATTTGAGTCATTTATAACACAGTGTTCATCATGTTCATTGCATGTTTACTTTCTATTTTATTTTTTATTTTACTTTCATTGAAACAACATATAGCATATAATGCTCTGACAGGGTCTTAGCAAAGGCATTATTCACCCTTCTTGAAACAACATAATATAGCATATAATACACTGACAGGGCATAAGTAGAGGCATTATTTGCCCTGTTAATTCATTACATGTTCTGACAATCATGCAATACAAGTAATGTAATTTATTTAGACAAGCGTCTGTTTCATAGGATTTGGTCCATTAATGCTGTTTGTGCATGTTTTCCACTTCTATCAAGGTGGTGTATTTGCCAAATACAATTTGGGCCTGAAAAGATTTAGGTTTTGGTCATATTTTATTTTGAATGTAAATATGGGCACAATATTGGAGGGTGTGAGCCTATTTAAATAAATTGACCAATTAAAAAAGGACTAGAAAATAAATAGATCAATTATTATTTTTCCAGAGAAAAACCACATAAAGTTATTGTCACTTATTTATCAAATAGGTTGATAAATTACTTGTTTCTCAGAAAAACCACATATTTATATACCAGTATCATGTTTGAATTAGCATTGATATTTCTAAAAAATTAGTAATAAATCTTCTTTTCAAATAAGCTGTTGTAGAGTTTCTCAGAACGCTCCCCATATGGTGGTTTCATTAAGGCCCTCACATCTTGTGAAAGTCCAATTGCAGTAAAACGTCCAGGTGAGAGATCGATTCCTTTCTCTTCGGGTTCGGGTATTGTGCCTGGTGCGTGTACCGTGAACCTAAATCCATCATTTCCTGTTGCGTAGTCACTTGTGTAAGCATTTATACCAGTCGTGTCGTCATTTATAAATGCATATGTGTTATAATCAGTCGGATTGTAGGAATTAGTTAACAGAATCATCATTAAACCTGACTCAGGACCAGATTCTGCCGCAACATACTTTTGTGAGATATTGGTATCAAACATGTAGCAATTACTACGAGGGAATGAAGACATTTTGAAGAAACTTTTGTCACAAACTTTCCCATTAAAGCTACATTCCATAATTAGATCTTCATAACTCCGAAACAATTCTTAATTTTCCTTACCTTGCAGATTTTCTGCATACCTTGTATTAGAATACAATGTTCGCTTTTTGATATATGCCATTCTGTCGCAAAAAGTAGACACATTATACTCTTGGTACAAAGAACGTGGTGGTAGCATCACAGATTTTGTATTCTCTTGGTAGGCGCCACACTTTTGAGGGGTAGGCTGGAGCTAAATCCTGACCAACATAAGTGCTGCCATCTATTTATCCATGTCTATAGCAAATGGTCAATTGCATAATATTATCAACAGTTGTACAGAGATACTAGGTAGAGGAGTAAAGTGAGGATTAAAGGTAGAATCCAATCTATGATGGGGGGTGACAAAATTGCAAGCAACACACACAATTGACCCACCAATCTATTCCTTACCATATCAATCTCCCAAAAACTCCGCCATATGCTAAAAATTGATGAATTTGGGGATTTTTAGAAAATAGACATGACAAGGAATTATATGTGCCAAAAGCCAAAAATATTCTAAAATTGAAATTAACATTTTTTATAAGCTAGCTCGCTAGATCTTATTCTCTCTACAATAATACAACAATTTTGATTCTTCAATGGTCAAAACTTAAATGATCATATTTTATGAATTATTTCAGGATATCTTCCCAAATGCCTCTCATCTGCCGACATTCAGCTCTCCTGCCATTGAGAGTCACCTGCATAGGATTCCTGGACTCTCTGATAAGTTCATCTATATGAACGATGATGTCATGTTTGGGAAAGAGGTCTGGCCGGATGATTTCTACACTCACGCTCATGGGCAGAAGGTAAGCCAAGAAAACATGTGTTTGAGCTACTTTAGTGCTATAGTAATGTACTTTGGTAATTTTTTCAATATCAATAAGTCTTGGTTTTCAATCGGGGTTGGTATACCTACTTTCGACTAGCAGTGATAAATAAGATAGAAATGTATAACCCTTTACTTTGTACATGTATATGACACCACTTAACTCTCAGAAAGGCTGTCCAAATTACAAAAAAAGTAATTTACTTTTGATTATCCTGTTCACAAAATACCTTTAAAGTAAATAACTAACACTTATTTTCATCTGTGTACAGGTGTACCTCACATGGCCCGTGCCCAACTGCCAGGAAGGCTGCCCAGGAAGTTGGATAAAGGATGGTTACTGTGATAAGGCATGTAACAACACAGAATGTGACTGGGATGGGGGTGACTGCACAGGCGATAATGTACGTCACAGCTTTGGTGGCGACTTTGGAGGTGGCAATTGGGGGCACCAGTCCAATGATAAAAGTAAGAACAATGAAAAATAAAATGTTAACCTGCATCAGACTGATCTCTCTGTCCAAATAATTTTTCACAAAGTACAAAAATATTATTATACCTATCTTGACTAAGAAATAAAACAAGACATTGGCAATATACCACTTTTTCAAAGTGCGGTAAAAACATTTTACAACTTTGAAGTATGAAATATATTTATTTGAATGGAAACATGAAGAATAGATATCAAAGCAAGTACTGATCAAGTTACTATGCTTGACATGGTACAGGTAAAGGGAAGGAGGAGAGTCACTTTTTGAGGTAGTCATTTGTTAGAAATTTTTGGTTTCATTTTTAATTCTTTTTACCAACTTCTCTTTTTAGGGGAAAAAAGATCTGGCTGGGATTTATGACTTTTGTAACAATAAGTTAATTTGATGACATTTTGGCATGTTCATACTTTGCATGACTGCATGCATAATATTTGCATGGTATTTGTCCTAAAGTGCTTATTTCCATATTATCAGTGTGTTAATTGTATTGGTTCTTGTGTTCCAGTGTATTGTAATGCTGGCTGTGCCAACAATTGGATTGCAGATAGATATTGTGATCAGGTAGAAGAGACTTTATTATCAAACATTGCTCATCATATTCATGTGAACAAATTTTTGCATTGTTTTGTGTAAGTAATAAATTCCCATTTTGAAGTGTGGAGTTGTGACACTATCTCATGTTATGACTCAATACCACTATACCTCAATCTAGTTTCTCGTATTTCCAGTCATGCAATGTGAAGGAGTGTGGCTTTGATGCTGGAGATTGTGGAGATGCGAATTTTCACAAGATGTACAGAGTAGATGTAAACCCTAACCTTGAGAACTATACACTACCTCAAGGTAGGATATCTTGTATTTTCTTGAAGTTTATACGGTTTATTTATTTTTATTGCTATATGTGATATTGATTTTGTATAGTTTATAATCTACTAATAATAAAAGGCAGACTTTGTCTTTGTCAGGATGTTATTAGTTGCATTTGAAATATGATTAGGGTAACGTTAATTTCCAGGGACCCTTGTTTCATACTTTAATTTGAGTGCTGTGTTTGGGGCTAATGGCACTATAGAAGAGGGGAAGTATGATGAGAGTGAAGCCATACGTAGTGGTACCATGTCACAGAAGTTCAAGACCCTCCATGTGATCCTGTATGAAAAACACAACAACACTAATCTCCATTTTACATTGAAGGGCTCAAGCGGTACTGAGAAAGTATGGGTGAGTGTAAATTGTTTAGATAATAGTATCTTTTCATGACAATTGTCTCAAAGATGTGACACATACATAAATCATTGAGTGTATTGAAGGCTACAATGCTTTGTTATTTGTTTCTTTTTGTTGCACATGTCATGTATAGGGATATTCAATTCATAACCTAAAGAGAGACACACCACTCTAGCAAAGAATTTGTCTTCTGACATAACATACTTAATTGTCTTCAATGTTCTTATATTTTCTGAATCAAAAGTAACTTACAAAGAAAATCAGATATTCTCATTTCCAACTTGATCACAAGATTTTGAAAGCAATAGCCTATAGATAAAAAAGCAGAAAGCATACATAGTCTTGATTGCCCTAGTGATTCCACACACTTTTTTTCAGTTCAATTGTTCAATGTGTTCACAATGTGTTCAGACATCCTTTTCAAGATAACATAATAATATTTTGATAATGATTTTTTTTGTATGTTGTAGTTGAGTTTTAATGTGACCGTCAACACAAATCCTGTTCCTCATAAAGATGGCGCATCTGAAGGGGAGGTTATCATTGAAAGTAAAGTGCTGAACAAAACATCTAATGTCACACATGTGGTGTCTAAAGTCAGCAACAGAACTAAAGCACTACCATTTGTGTTCACAGATGTTCCCCAGGACATAAGGTAAATATCGAGAGATTATGAAATATTTTTGCAAATTGAGAAAAATAATAAATATTCATTTATATATGAAATATGATTTATTTTATTTCTCTGTACATTTTCCATATTATTGTAACATGGAATTACATTGTCAGCAATACTCCTTTTGTTTTAGATCCCCAAGGGTAGCAGTGAGAGATATAGATCCCAAGAGATACCAGGTCTATAATACCTCAGATCTTAAACTCCCAGAGAATGTAAAGGAACTTCTGGAACAACTAGAGGCAGACTTCAAACAAGGTGAATTTAAAAGACCAACAACTTTATAAAAAATAACTGTAACAATTTTTTATGTCACCATTACAAGTGGTCGACTTTCGGTGTCTGTAAGAAATGACAGGTGGTGACATGCCATCGTGCCTGTAGGGTCAGTGTATTAAAGTTTAATGTCTGTTTAGTGCCCCACCTTTTGGATTTTATAATTTTTCTTTAAGATCTCATTTGTATATTGTTTTTTCTCTTCTCGGAATTGACCTGCCAAGGCCTAATATAAGATGATTGTAAAATATTTCAGGTGATTTAACTGAGAAGGGATATAATTTAGAGAAAGCTGATATCCTTGATAAACACCAAGAAGATATCAAACTTTTCCAACACCAACAACAGCAAGCGATGAGGAAACATAAAGATGAGAATATTGAAGAAAATAAGTTGAAATTTAATGGCGATCATCTCAATGTACATGAACAAGGAAATGCCAATGTTGTTAATATGGAGAATGCTCAAGTTGATGTAAAAGCTGAAAATGTTGACACTGTAAATAAGAAAATACAAGATGCGCCAATAGAAAAACTACCCAATCTTCAGAATGAGAAATTACAAAACTTCCCTGATAAGAAAGTTGATACGGTTGAGAATAGAGAGGAGGAAGGTGGGCATGCCTTTGCTCCCGAAGATAGTGAATTAAAAGCTAATGCTCAAGAGAACAATAATGGTGGAGATAATTTAAAGGAGACTGATCAACAACAAGTAGTAGGAAATGTACAGCAAGAAAACCAACAAAGATTTCAACAAGTCAATCAACAGCCAATACAACAACAAAACAACAAACAATTGCAACAAAATAATGAACTATTACAAAATAATCAACAAAATCAACAACAGCTTTTACAAAATAATCAAGAACCATTACAACAAAATCAACAACTTTTACAAAACAATCAGGAACCATTACAACAAAATCAACAGCTTTTACAAAATAATCAAGAACCATTACAACAAAATCAACAACTATTACAAAATAATCAAGAACCATTGCAACAAAATCAACAGCTTTTACAAAATAATCAGGAACCATTACAACAAAATCAACAACTATTACAAAATAATCAAGAACCATTGCAACAAAATCAACAGCTTTTACAAAATAATCAGGAACCATTACAACAAAATCAACAACTATTACAAAATAATCAGGAACCATTACAACAAAATAATCAACAGCTGTTACAACAGAATCAAGTTCAACAACAAAATCTAGTAGATAATCAACAAATACAACACAAAAATGAGGAACAGATACATCAAGTTAATCAACAAAATATAAAAATCAACGAGGATACTTTAAACCAGGAAAAGCCTGCTAAACCCAAAGACCCCCTAGTTGAACAAAATAAGGACTCCTTGGTTGGTGAGCAAAAAGAGGGGGAGGTTCACAAAAGCCGTATACTGAACTCAGTTGGGTTTCTGCCCTGGGAGAAGCAGGGAGTGTTTGCGGATTTACAAGAGGTAAGGAATGACCTGAAAATATTTATGCATAAGGTATAATCTCCATTGCCACAAATCCCCATTGTATCGCTTGACAATTTTTGTTTCATTGATGTAATATATTTTTATTTAAGATATTATATATATATAGGACTCATCAAACAATATAATATACAGCACATGTATAAATGATATCTGGTCTCTTATTAGAAAAAGGAATCCATGGCACGACAAAGGGCATTTGAATCAGAGCCAGTACATGGGCGTCACCTTTTGGACACATTTGGTGATTCACTGCGTCACGTCAACAAGCTGTATAACCAGATGTTTGGGTATGATGCACGGAAAGTTCCTGGTCACATGCCTCATATGATCGACAAGAACATCATGAATGAGATGCAGAATCTGTGAGTTATCTCATTGATTGTTCATTTTCACATCCTTCAAAAGGAAAGACAAATTGTATGATAATTTTTTGCATCGCATTCGCAATAATATTCTTTGTGTTTGTTTTTTTATGCATACTAATTGTCTGTTTGTTTCCATTATTGCATATTATTTCAATTCACAAAGCACAAGGTTTAACAATAAACAACTAAAACATTTTATCATTCATTTTAGAATTGAACGATTGATTTTGTTTTTTGGTACTGAGTTTCTGGTATACAGTATTAATGAATATTTCCCAGGTTTCCACACGAGTGGGATGTGACATCATCGCACAAGATACGACATTCCAAAGACATGCAGTTTGCCTTCTCATTCTTCTACTACGTGATTGGTGCAAAACAAGATGTTACCGTGGAGATGATTTTTGATGAGATGGATGTGGACAAATCAGGGTAAGCTTGAAAATTATTTGTTTTAGGACAGAGGGAGATTTTTCTGATTGACAGGTTATTAGCTGTAATATATTGTTGCCATTGCCTGGATTTTAAAGTCAAGGAATGGCAAGGTTGAAATTGGAAGAAATCATATTTTTGTCATCTCCAAATATAAACAAACATGTGTCAAAGAAAGAATAGAAAACATATAACAAGTAATTAAAAAACAAGCTTTAGTCTTTATTAATTCACTCTGGGTCATTATTGTCATTGTTGCAGGGTTCTATCTGACAGAGAGTTAAGGACATTAGCTACACGACTCTATGAGCTGCCACTGACCCTAGAGGTAAATAATCACACTCTGTATAGTATAAACTCCTACATTATTAATGTAGATCTATCTAACTTTAGAAAGTGTCATGATTTCAATGTAGTAGACCCATATTCACCATTTATTCAACATTAATTATGGAATAATGCAGAATGTGACTAATGATTATATGTTTTATTTTTATGTAGCAATTGACAGGCATCGAGAAAAACCTGATCAACTGTTCCCAGCATACCAAGCAAGTAGAGTATGTCTCATATAATAACATGGAGAGGTACTATGAGAAAGATATGGTAAGTTGTTTTTCTCTTAGGATAAATTCTTTGAATCAAACACTTAAAGAACACTGAAATAGTTGTTTTAAAGTTGTCCCACCGAATTATTATAACCACCTCATTTTTGTAACCGGTGTTCAGTGTCAGTATCTATAACAAATGGTTACACGTTTATAATTGCAAACAGGTGGTGTTGTCACATTATTGTCTTGTTTGACATATATCAGATCTCTTTCTAGTCTTAATTGTAGTAGTTAATTGTAGTAGAATCTAGATTCACACCTCCACCTTTTATTTGCTGCGACAGTCAATCTGAATGTTTTTTTATTTGATGTTTTCAGCGCCAAGTTACGAAGACTTTAGTTCTGAACTGTGAACCAATTATAGAATTACTCTCAAAGAACTTTAAAGTCAGGAACAAATTCAAGTAAGGATATTCAAGTTAAAACATAGACATGCTTGTAACCTTAGCAACCATAACGCTGTAGCAACAGTTTATAAGATACTTAAAAACTACATCTCCAGTTAAAATGTGTGAAACTCTATGTGAATATTTCCATGTAATACATGTGGTATTTATGCTTATGAAAAGAGCTATAAAATATGATATATCTTAGATATAATTTGTTGATGTAGTAATACAAAACAAATTTTCCCCTAGAAATTGATGCAGTGAATAATATGAATTCTCCTGTAGGTTTGAGATCCTCGGAGATGATGACATTGCATTTAAAATGATCCGCAGCAATGTCTCTCGTGTAGTTGGTCAGTTAGACGACATCAGGAGAAACCCAAAGTAAGATCTTTTTGGCTCATAATAACAGTAGAACCTGTGTAAGTGGAACACCTTTGGTTACGTCAAAAAGTGTTCCACTTAAGAGATGTTAGTCTTATCAAGGTTTGACTAACTAAATTTAGGGTGTCAATGAACTGTTAAGTGTTCCACTTACAAAGGTCTTCAACTTATAGAGGTGTTTTACATGACATACTTTTTGTACTGTATTTCTGTTCATTGTTTTTTACATATCCAACAATGTGATTTTATACTATTTCAGGATCATTCATGTTTTAGCAATACGCCAGCTAGTTTCAATCTGGATCAGCCAATATTTTTCAGCTTGCTTTGGGAAAACATGACAGGTTGTTCAAAATGTGAATGTATATTTTAGGAAATTTGTCTGCCTTAATGACAACATCCAACATGGTTCAGAAGAGTCTAAGACAGTCAAGGCAGTACTGCAGGACTTCTATGAAGGGCTATTTCCACTTGTGTCACAATTTGAACTTCCCAGAGAGTACAGGAACAGGTTCCTCCATACTGATGAACTCCGAGCTTGGTAAGAAAAATATAATGGTACAACTAAAATTCCTGTTAATTTTTTGTATCTTTACACAATTTCGTAGTCTATTATTTGGAGGTAAGGTACTTCATTTCATCATAGGTTTTCCCATTTTTACAAAAATGTACACTTCGTAGTACACTTATAAAAGATTGATATGAGATTTAAAGATTTTCACATTGTAACACTATTTGAAAAAGCTATTCTTTATCTTGATGGCTATGTGGACAAAGTGCTTTTTGGGTATCAGATCCAGAAATTCTCAGCTTTAGGACCCTCAGTTAATCTGTCTTAGGTCTCCCATTTCCTCAAGCAGTGCGCTAACTTCAAATATGATGCTACACCCATGATCTATGCATCCACCTTAAACACAATATACCTTAACTTTTTCCAGGAGGAGATACAGAGACTGGTTGAAGATGTGGACTCACCTGGCATTGTTCATACTAATCATGTTCACTATAGCATCATTCTTTGGGGATAAGGTAATATACACCTTGTTATTTCATTGAGTCATTGTTTAAAAGGGAGTTGGTTCAGTATATTTTGATTTTATGAATCAAATTGTATGATATGTTCGTTTTATGTCAACTTACAATGGATCTCCTCAAAAGTTAATCATTTCAGTCAATATGGTACAACGAAAATAGGACTTCTGCGCATGTTAAAATTTTTCGTCAAAACTCAACTTTTGTTCAAGTTGATACGATTGTCTTTCGAACTAGAGACTTACCTCATTCGAAAGATCATAAAAGACTTTATCTATACTGAAAATCTTAGATCCAAACATACATGTAGTAGAATATGCCGTCAGTCCGCATTTGAATTTTTGAAGTGAGTTTCGTAGATCGTCAGATTTCTCCAACTGATATCGGGTTATCTCAAACTGGTTCGTTTATAAATACGAATTTCTTTACCGTCGTAAGGCGCATGCGCAAAATTGATTTATAAACCTTATTGGTTGATGGTTTTTCTCCTGCGCATGCGTGAAGTCTGATGAACACTTATGACGAAGACCGGAGCAAACATTACTAGCTCCCGAAGGAAATTCCAAGATTCAGGTCATTTCGCCGTGTTTGCTAAGCGTGTATACGTGAATGACAAGCTGTTTTGAGTAGATCGGGTACATGTTTTAGACACAACATTGATTTAGCTTGACATTGATGTGCACATTGGCACTTTTGAGCATGTTAATACAAGTTTTTACACTCTTAGCACGAGACGGGTTTTCGAAAAATCTGTTATCTGATTCACTCGATTATCGTATGGATATGTATTTCTGCTGACATTTCAACACCACATCACATAGAATTACGATGCAGTATGATAATAAAACACAAAACAACTACTAAATTCCACTTGTTATTTCACAGGAGGTAAAAATGCAAACTGCCTAGATTCTTTGTAAGGGTCGTCAGACATCGGATTGGCCGCCATATTTGAAATGAAAATATCACTAAATAGAGGTCTGCGCATGCCTCAACATTTCGACTGATTTGTTATAAGATATCTTGCTGATTTATCAATTTTTGATCCAGGAATAATCCATGCTGAGTTCCTCTGTGTTTAAAATCCAGTTTGCAAAATCATTAAATAATAATAATATGCCGATTCAGTTTCAGGGACAAGCTCAATATTTCATTGATGTCTCAAAATGTAATTTCTCTTACATTTCATGTTGACCTTTTCCCTCCACTTCGAAAATGTAATTGAAGATTAATATGCCAAGAAAACCTCATGAATTTTTACCCTTTCTAAAAAATTAATTGAGGCATTAGGTAGCTAACTATCTACTGTATAGTATACACACTTGTTTGCCTCATGTATTTTCAGATTGAGCAACTAAAGAGAAAATTCTGGCGACAGCGGGTCGGAGAGCGGAAAAAAGATCGAGTCGAGGATGTTTGACAATTACTTCTCTGGATTTGTACAACAGATTTTTGGATGCTTGTACTGTTAATAATGCTCATAATTATTGTTGGATTTATGTATTTTAGAACACCATAAAAAATATTTTTACATATTAAAGATGATCATAGTCACGTTGGATAAAGCCAATGCAATACCAGCAGAAATTGATATTGAATAATTGGCTTTACCCACTGTGATATAAACAAAAATTACTCAATTTAATATTCACTGTATTTCATCAGTGCAATTTTACAATACTGAATGTCCTGTATAAAAAGTTTGAAAAATAACTTGTTTTGTAAAAAACATTTAAATTATTTGCAGTATTTCTTCGCTAACATTATGTAATAAGTATATTTCTAGTCTAATCTTGTTCTAATTGTGTTGTGTGCAGAAAGCATCGTAAAACTGTTGTAGATTTTCAGAGAGAGTATCCAATGTATTTTTTACATTTTATAATTACTTGCCTAATTCATCGCAGAGGCCTGTAGAATAAGGTGTCTATATGCGAAGATAAACTTTTCCAAATATAGCCAGTGATCTCAGAATTATTCTCAATTAAACATTTCCTATCTGAATTATAGTCAGAAATCGTGACACAAATGTGATTAAGTCTCCATGTGTTTTTCTTGTATTATTAATTTCAGTAGTTTATTGAGAACAGATTTTTTATTTTTATTTTATACTTTTTGATAATGTCATGACGACAGATAGATTTGGGAATGAATCTTACATTTACATTCTTAATAAGGAACTACTGATATCTAAATTATTTAGGTCAATGAAATTGGCCAAATAAAAGTGGCTTTTACCTCTCCTGACTAATACGCTAATACAGTAAAAACTGAATATTGAACCTTTTTTTGCCAAGCAAAAACGTTCAGTGTTGGTAGGTGTTTACTACAGAGAGGAATGGTATCCATTAGAAAGGTGTTCACTAGAGAGAGGTACATGTTCACTAAGACAGGTTTTACTGTAGTTAGTCACAGAGTACATTGATGCGCTCCCTAATTTGTTACGCTGTTCATATTTTAAGATTTCATATTAGAACTGATATTACATGCTGTATATGTAATCAACAATCAACTTAGAATTATGCATTATTAATACTGTGTATAAACAAGAATTCTCATAAAATCTTATCAAAGAGGATTGAGATTACTTTCTATTTTACTTTGCCTTACAAAATAACCATAAGTTATACGACATGTATTTTCCCCACACATGTCATGTTTGTATTTCACACAGAAATAGAGTTGAACAAAGTGGATAATGACTGAATTGACACTCTAAATCAACATTTAAATTACCATTCCAATGATATGTAGAATCTGTGTGAAATCAACCAAAGATTCACATATATCCAATTAAATGTTGAATTAAATGTAATATTTTGGGTACATCTTATACCAAAATGCATTGTACTAAAAGGTTTTAATACAAAAAAGGGGCAAGTCCCAGTGGCCATAATGTATTTCGATACAATGCATGTTTGGTGTATTGAATGAACGGCATTCAAAAAATTAAAAGCCTATACACTGTAGTGTGTAATAGTGTAAACATTCCATTTGTGATATTTTTCTGATATGTAATTGTTCTTAGAATAAGTAGCACGTTCAAAGACATGTTTTTCAGTTAGAATTGATGGACTGTAATAATAGATATTGTAATAGTCTTAGGCAATGGCATGTTAGTCAGTGATAATCAATAGCAATCAATGTCTGATATAATATGAAATCATTCTTGGGTAGTATAAACATTTTGATTGTATATTATACAGTATACATTCAGACAGATTTAAATTTACTTTTGCATGTATGTGATGAACTTGAGAAAGTGTTATTTCTGTTGCTTGCATATGGGATTCAAAACTTTAAAAACTTATTTTTCTGTGCATGATATATGCATGTACAAAGCAGTGTATAAAGTGTATGTAATAGCTGGGCAGTCATCTTTCACTCAAAATCACATATCTTGTATATAATATTATTTATCTCAAAGTTGGGGTAGGGTCATAGGGGCATTGATATTTTTCAAAAAAAATTGGGAAAAAACTGTTTCTATTGTATCATTTTTTCTGTCAAAAAACAAAATCATACCGCATGTCACCTTGTATATCTCATATTTTATGAGTTGTAATATTAACATACCTGTAGATTTGAATATGGCCACAGGAGCAGAGTGTAGGACAATTCTCCATTTCGCTGTTCGCTCTTTGAATCAGAACGTTCGCATATATGGTGCATATATGTACTCAAAAAGGACAAAATTTGATTGGTCAATATTTTTCAACGATGCATTTCGTGTAGCTATTTGTGAGACCCGAAAGTTCTAAATCAAATTAATTACGCAATTTTGTTTTTACACCCGCAAGCTAAATAAAAAAATGACACCATCGGAATTCTTCTTCTTTGTCATTGAATTAATAGTCAGTATACCAGATTTAATCAATAAAAGATTATACAATTAACAACAAAATTCGGAAACGAGTATGTAAGATTTGCTTTCGAACCACTAAACTTGACCTAGATAATAGCGACGTGTCTTCTTTGGTCAAATGCTCAGTTGTTTGTGGGTTTTCAACGTAACTCTATAATGTAATATGAAGATGAGTACTTTTATTCAGTTGTTGCATCGATGTTACAGTTTGTAGTGCGGTAATATTGGCATGAACGTGTTGAAAGTCGAATGGAATTGCTTTTTCCAATATGGCGACTAGTCACGTGACTTCTTCTCTTCCGGAATATACTCCCATTTTCAATCATTGTTTTCACCCCGTTAGGAGCCAATAAAATGAAAAAAAATATATGTTATATAAAGATTATTAAAAGACTAATTGTTTCTGATAGTTTGTTTTCTCCGATCGCATGGAGATTCGATCGAAAATATCGCTTGAAAAATGGGTATGAAAATCCCCATGTTAAACCAACGGGGAAAAACAAGGTAGAAAAATGTTGTTTCCCCGCGAACTGCATCATGGGAAATATTTTGACCTTATAAGGAAAAACTTTCGCGCCATCTTTATTAGAGATTCAATACTACCGAATCCGCGATTTTAAGAATTGAATCTACATTAGTATCATTGTCATCATTTCCATCTTCTGTGACAGTGGGAGTCTTGTAATATACTTCAGAAATTTTTCAGACTGGGCTGCTCCTCTTCTCAGTTTTTTCTACGGATAGTTCTCATTATGTAACCTCATACATGTTGCTTATGTTAAATAGTGGAGTCCATATGAGAGTGAACTGTATAGAATTTGTACATATGTAGATATAGGTTGGAAACCTGGGTCTCCTGGAACATGCTCATAGTTCATGGGAATGACTTTTTGAAACTCAATGCCTGATTTGGGTGATAGAGGGAGAGGAATAGAATGGGATGAGGGTTTTAGTCTATACCAAATATCGTATAGATTTATCCGATAATTATAAATAGCTCCTTCATTGAATTAATTGCTCAGATGTCTTTGTATCATAACTTTGATTTAAATTTATATCAACCTTTTTCAAATATCACTTGTGAAACTTGGTAATACATTTGATATGTTTTTTCCTCAACAGTTGTTAAAATATTTTAATATATCACCCTTTTGGCCATGTTGGCAGGGGTGCAAACATATTTTTTAATTTTCAGATTTGTAACTGGGTGTAGCATTCATTTTTCTAAATTTTTCAATGATTCAGCTCGCTGACAAGGATATTTTGATATTTTTGTAGTAAAGGGGATACACATATTTTATGATATCTTGAAGAATATGTAATTTATCTGGAGGTGGATATTTAAACATATTTATTTACCATGTGTAATTATTACATTTTCAAAGATGATCAGGACTTGTAAATTGTAAATAGGAAAATGGCATATTATTATGCAAATACAGTGTACATGTACAGAAGGGGACTTTGTTTGATTTGAACATATACAAGGGTACTAACCAAACCTTATACCATGGGCAATTTAGGTTCTGTATTTAAGTGATCATACCATCACATTCGTTAATACACATTACCCCTCCCTAAGCTATGATACTGTCAATATAAGCAAACTTGCGATATCATGAGGTGTGGTTGGTACCCGTGACATAGGTCCTTTTTAAGTTTAGTGCATGTAAATGACTTACTTAGAATTTGTGGACAATGTGCATAGTGCATATGGAACATTATAATGCATGCAAGAGTTAAAATGGTGTCCATAATACAAGAGAGAAGCATTTTTTCTTCCAGTTTATATGCTCTTGTGTTAATGAAGGGTTTCATCATATAAAATGTTTAACATTTCTTAGTAGCATAATATTTTTAAATGGTATTTTGTACTTAAGGCATTGTTTTAAAAGGTATTTTGTAATAATGGCATTGTTATTTGCCAGTAGAAAACTGAATTTGTATTGAAAATATTGTGTGAAAATGTACCATTAACAGTGAATATTTACATTGGTTTACTCTGTCAGTGTTTGATAAAGGTGGAGGGGGGTGAAGCATTTTGATATCCACAGCTGCTACTGTCTCTTGAAGAGGATAGTTGCTACTGTGCTTAGAGTAACTAAAATGGGGGTTGAGTAAAAATAACTCTCAAAATCCATTTTCATTTTTATTGTACTGTAATTGGCTATATTGATACATTCCCTAAGATCTAAGATCCCCAGTTTGGATTCTTACAAATTTTGTTTAAAAAATAGTGGTGATGCAATATGATTGAATGGTAATAATATGGTTGTAGATTATGTACCTGTTTTATATACCTGTACAGTGGAAATAAAAATGTCAAAATAAAATGTTTTCTTGTTTACTTTGTCTAGAATGGAATTTGTTACTATAGAAATTGTGACAATGTAATGTAAAAAAATAACAGGTTTAGCAACCTAAATCGATGGTTAAAAATTTAAGTTTTGTTATCAAAACTTTTGTTTAGCTTGGCAATATCTTGGGCTAAAAGAAAATTGGCAACATGGTAAATGCGAATTATTAAGAATGAATTTTACTGTATTTACACATGTATAAGAGGATATTATTGCAATAATAATCTCAATAAGCCTTGTTAATTTTTTATTACAAAAACACAGATATATCAATTCATGCTTCCTACTAAAAATCTGTCCCTGATCCAGCGTCTAAAATATATCCCCATAAATCCTAATCCTATAGCGACAGCTGAACACAGAAGTCCTATTTTGATGATGTGGCTCTTGGAAAAACTGTCACTATCATGAAATTTTTTAGTAATTTCTGTCATGGACGCATTCAATTGTGAACTGTTTGGCACCCCTGTTGTATTACTAAGTACCATTTTATTCCGCACTCAAATTATCCCTCTTATTTCCAAAAGTGCTCCAATTACATTTATGGATCTAGTGATAGTATGTTTTTGTGCAGTTCATCATAATCAGCTAACTGGTGAATGTATGGTTATCATGGGTTCCCAATTTGTATTTAATTATGCTCCTTTATTTTCTATTCATTACCATTAAGAGAACTGGTAAACCTACATTCATACTGTTTCATAGTCTCTTGTGTAACAATACATCCAGATTTTGCTCATCCTTAATGTCCCAGCTGAGTGTATTATTGTTTAATATCTCGAGATCTAACATACTGATGCAACATCATAATTAGGATGAGGCCAATGAAAAGACTTAGTGCTTCTGAGCCATAAGCTAAAAAAGAAGGATATTTTTTTCACTTGTAGTCCACTATGCAGATTGTCATTTGCAGATAGTCATTTGTCTGTGCTAATTTGTTCTTCACCACCATGGGTTCTTTATCATTTTAAAAATTCAGAATTGAAGTTTAGACTATCTGCTGCATTATCAATAAACATCTTTGTTAGCATTTTGAAACAGTAATCCAATTTATACATCAATACATGATTAATCATTCACATAATCATGATTAATTGTTCACATAATTTTGATTAATCGTTCACATTTAGAATAAACTTTTAATTAGCTCAGTCATTTAATTCAAACACCCTTCAGTCTCCACTTATGTGACATACTCTATTTCACTGTTTTTTTTGGAATACACATATATCACTATATCCCCTCATTTTCTGTCACAATAATCAAATATGTTACGTTTAGTCTGCTATTATCTTATATATATATATGTATATTCAACCATTTTAATTGTCCATATCTAAATCATGATATTATACTAATATCATATATCCTAAAAGTGAACCTATAACTTGCTAACCAAAAAGCTTTGTTGCTATAGTTAATTCTTAATTTCTTTTAGACAGCACTATTTAGTCCATCATATATCATCTTTATTATTTATTTACGACGTGTGGTCGAGTGTATACTGTGCACCTATCTCATAAATGACATATGAAAACAAAGAGATCATAAATTGTAAATCTAGTATTTTTTTTACCTGAATATGACAGTTCCATTACAATCAAAGACTAAAATTGTGGTTACATATCATAGGTATGTAATTTCACATTCACACATAGCGATTCCAGCCAATCAGAACAGAATATTCACATAATGAACAATGTGTGAAATATCAATAACACATGCAAGGTCACCAGTTAAACAGTTGTCATGGTGATGAATGGACTTCTCACATTGGATTTGATGACTTGCCAACAAGACCTTTGCAAAAAATGTCATTGAAAATGTGTTCTTTTAGTGATTTTGTTCAGATGGTTTTGGAGAAAACATTTTGCAATGTGTGAAAAAAATTTAAGCCCAAGACTCAATGCATTGTAGCTGCTTCATTCCACTCAGGTGTTGTTTCATAAACTTTGCATTCCCGCTGCACGGTCATGCAAAGATTTGGAAACAACACCTTCATGGTATGATTCAGCAAACAATACACTGAGTCCAGGGCTTAAATCCTTAATTATAACATGAATGTAAAAATCAGAAGATTTTGTCACTCTGTAAAATACAAAATTGCTAACATCTGCAAAATCAATAAAATACTGCAAAAACCATTGCTAAATTACAGTATATTGTGTATAAGGAATACAATAGTAAGTGATAATTGAAATAATTATCTATTCTATATAATATTGTATATGACTAATATGTCAGGAGTCTTTAAAAGTCAATAATAAAAAGATATATATATATTGGATATTGTAATCTTACTTGTTTTTGTAAATTGCACATGTACAGCAAAACTTCCCAACTTGAACTACTGTATAAAATGAACACATCTATTACATGAACACTTTTTCATGAGTCATATTTTCTTTCTCCCATTGGCTCCCATGTTAAACCCACCTTGAACAATGAACACTTGCTCTATCCAAACAGTGCTAGCCTTAAGAGTGACTTTATGTAAATCTATGTTATAACTTGTCAGCATTTAATTGCTCTAGAGAACCTCTATAATGTTACAACATGTATCAAGAAAATATCACAATCTAATTCTGGAATACTAGTACCATGACATCAGTGTCATATATCCATCAGGGTAGCGATTTTTGGGTTTTTATTTTGTGCTACTTTTGGACTTAGTATAAAATTTAAAATTACTGGGCATCAGGGACAGATTAAAAAAATAGAACAGGACTCGATCAAAAGAGATAACGAATGAAGATATTAATTATAATGTATGAGTAAAATAGTCTACATCAACTAGAAAATGACAACTCCTAAATAAGCCAACAAATGATATGTTGTTTAAAATACTTAACATTATCAACTAGTCACCACTAGAAAATCGGTCCATTTGTATTTGGGTTATGCTAAATGATATGAGATGGATGGATGGAGGGCTTCACTATATTCCTCAACTAGAACATTTTTGGGATAATTAGACCTAATATAAGTAGAAGCCAAGGGAAGTGTATTCTATGATTTATGCAGCAAGCCAAACCAATTTTGAAAAAACATCAAAAGGCGCCAAATGAATTGAAGAAAGGTCACAATCGTTTTAGTTGAAGCATGGGCTTCCAAATCTCTTGAAAGCCCATGGTTGAAGTTGTCTTAAATTAGAAGTTCCATTAATTTGTGAGAAAATAGCTATCCATCAATTGTAATAGAGCACATAGACTGATGTAGACTGACGTATTTATAACACCTTTTAATCTAATTGGATATAGCTATAGAACAAATCCCATTAAATGAGTAGTATTTTCTCCACTGATATTGTTTGAATATCTCATTACCTACTGATATGGCTTATTGTCACACATAGCCCCACTTAATATTGACAGTAAAGGGAAGACATAAAATCTGACGTTGAGTAGTAAATGATTCAATTTTTCTAAAATCTCTTGGAAAATCATTATAACTATTCTATACCTAAATACAATGTACATATATATGTTCCAAGTTAACTAAGTTCCAAGTAGACATCTGGCATTGCCTCCTGTACCTGAAATGCCACTTTGAATGAAGGTACATGTAGGTAAATTTGATAATTTATAATCACGGTAAAATCGGACTAATCTGAACTCATCTGGGATCAGCAAAAAGTGTTAAAATCAGCAAGTGTTCAGATTTCAAGGTTTTATACACATGTGAGTCTGTGGGAGAAACAAAATTGGGTCCAAGAAAAAGTGTTCACACTGAAAGGTGTTCGGATTAGAGAGGTGTTCAGATATACACGTTTCACTGTAATCTCTTTATCACAGACCCAAATGGATTCAAGGTTTGAATAACTGAATAAGATATAAAGCGGTATGTTTGGACATAGCACTACCATGGGCTTTCAATTCTAGTTGAAAGCCTATGGCACTACGTTGAGTCAATCAAGGTCATTATTGATGTCAACCTATTTAGAAGTTCACTCTTACTGATGTGACATCAATTGAACAAAACTGATATTTACATTTTCTCACATTTAATATCTAATACCAATAAGAACAATACATCTATTATAGTTTATGTACAATATTTGTGCAAATACATAAAAATAGTCCATACTGCATCAATAATTAACTAATAATCATGACTAGTATATAATATATATTTTAAGTATCTTTAATGTTCATTCTTAACCAAACAACTAAGAATTGTTGTTTTTCCAAACAACAAAGAATTGAGTCAAGGTATAATGGTTATCACGTCCCCTCTAATGAGGTCTGTATAAATATTATTGAATTAGTATTATAATCTCGTAATAGGAGTAAATAGGTATTATTTCTTGTACATTTGATTCATCTGATAAAATACAAAAACATTCTACCATGTCACCAGAGCCACAAAATACACACACCCTTACCACAACTTACAAAAATATATGAGTAACAACCCTATATATCGGGTGTCCCAAAAAACGTCACTCTTTTTAACTTGTAATATCTTAGTTATTTTAGAGCCAAATTCTTTGATATATGTACATGTATTACAACATGCAATTTTAGATAATATGTACAGAATGGCACAGTAAATACTTAGTAACTGTACATATGGCCCTACTTATTTCACTCCTAGTTCAGTTAATGATGTGATAAGCAAACTTGTGCTTTTAGAATTGATATTAGACCACCCAGGTTGCATTCTTGCCTTTCTAACAGTAATTATTTCTAATTCAACCATTTTATACTTTCAATCATAACTTTATACTTTCAACCATTTTCAACCATAACTTTATACTTTCAACCATAGCTTTAAACTTTCAACCAGGTCCATGTCTCAACCAATCTCATTGCTTATTTTCTGTTCATTATTGGGCAATAGTCATCAATTTTAGATGAAAACAACACAGTTCAAATCTATCACATACAAGTAGTTTTATGTCTAGATCTAGGGATCATGAAAGTGCTGTCATGCCCAGGCCGGACTGAGGTCAGAGATCAATTCAGCACAAAGTATACTAGTATATCTACATATTCATTTTTGTCATCATTTTTCATATTAATGTTATATTCCGTCAAAACCACCACCTGCTGTAAACAAGCTTCATTTTGTGTTACACTTCATGTTAAAGGGAGTGTAAAATGTTAAAGGGAGTGTAAAACAGTCATGGATGAATACAACATAAACCCCTTTGTAATTTCAAGCCAATGCCATTACTATAATAAAAATATAATCAAATATACTGTACTGATGATCAGTACATGAACTCAGATGTCAGTTACAGTATATTTCAGCTTAACAACACCATCAAAGGATATAACAAAATGTATAATATCTCTATAAAAATAATCAAGTCACTTGCTGTATTACTTTTTTTCAGATTGAGCAGAGAGAGTAAAGAGAGACAAGGTTTAATCAGAATGTCAAAAATATATAATTATAAAAGATGAGACAGTTTGTTTACAGTGTTCATTTGATTGTAAGACACTAACCAAAACAATGTTATAACATTACATTAGACAAGGCATAAACATGCAAAATGTCATGGCCTACTATTTGTTACAAATGCTGAACACATTTGAACACACCAAACACCAACCACCAAACATCATCCACAAACAAGTTGGAGACTATCTCAATATGTCACCACTTATGATCTTTTCACTGGTATGTTTTACAAGAAAGCCTTCTAACAGTTCAGATTCAGATATCATGGCCGATATAGTCACTGGTTATTTCGACAATGATAATTTCCATTCTCTTAAGCAGTCCATAGAATCCATTCCACCAAGTGAAATAGAATGAAAATATTCTGGATCTCTGAGTCCTGCAATATTTAGGTTGATAATATCAGAGGGAACACATTAAGATAATAAAAACTGGTTCAGCTGGACACAAATATCTGAAATACTTTGATGCACCCCATTCCTGATCCCAGGGTCTTGATCTTAACATGTTTTACTGTCGAATAGGCAATGCCTCATCATAGACACCCTTGACTCGCTTATTACTGGGGTCAAATGGAGACTTCAAATACATCTTAGCCTTGTACATTTCCCCCATGTGATCAATTTCATAATTTCCAGATTTGATAAAGTCTGTTGTGATTGGTTCTCCACTGGGATTTGATATGTAGCCGACCCCGAAGCTCTTCCCCAATGAGAATGCATAGTCAGCACGTCGTAAAAATCCGACAACTTCTCCATCACGCCATACTGATTCCAGACTGTGGAGTGGTACATGTCTGGAAACAGAATGAATATCTTAAGGAGGCATATATTTAAAACACTTCTCAGGCCCGTAGTCAGTTTTTGCCAAGGGGGTTCACTTTTTGAATTCCAGGGGGTTCACATTTGACAACTTTTGCCCAAACATGGCCAAAATGAAAAGTGCTCAGAATGGTGAAAAACTGTATGATTTTGAAATAATCAGAGCCAAAGGCTATCAATAAAAAGCCTCAAAACAAATACTGATTGACATCCAGCAGGAGCTTTACACAAGATTGAAATAAAAAAAATTATACAAAAAAAAAAGATTGCACAACACTCTTCAATTCATAATGCATGGAAGAGTACCTATTGTTGTTGCAGCAGATTCCAAATATTCGAATATTCGATTTACCATTTTCGTAGCAACGAAGTGAATACAATACAGTACAATACTTACTCATCTATAGTAAAAGTAACTAGACGCTTCTTCATTCCCTTCTGTTTTTGCTCAATAAGTTGTTCTCTGCCAAGGAATGGAGTCTCAGATTTGAGCTTACATGTAAATGCTAGTCCAGCCTCTAGTGGCAGGTCATCTGTTCTAATATCTGTGGTCCATAGTTTGTAGCCTGCAAATCAGTTGAGTTTACATACTATTGTACTACTATAAACTTAGCAAAACTTTAAAACTTTTAAATCACATTTAATTTAAAACATGAGAAAACTGTTTTGGTACAGTCATGTCTCATGATCCTTACATGTTAGGTATATATTTCTTGATATTTTCACAAAATGCTTGTAAAAATTGACTGCCCAAATGAGCCGAAATGGACTAGAATGAGTGCTAAAGATTGTTATTGTCCCATACATAATTGTATATTATTAGTTTAAAGAGCATTTCTATCAAAAAGGGAGATTCTGAAATCTATATCTGAATGATGGTCGACAGACAAATAAATAGTGGATGGAATATGTTGTTAAATATTGTGGTTCCACCAAACCAAATAAGAGTTACAATTCATAGGATGAGGAGTCCAAAGCCCTATACCTACGAATGAAAACCAAGCACATTCATTTTACAATTCTACATGGACTTTACCTTTTTCTAAGCTAAGGGAGTCCAATGCTCTATATCCACCATTCACAATACCATATTTCTCCCCAGCAGCCATGACTGCCTTGTATATCTCCACACAAGCATCATTGGGCATGTGAAGCTCCCAGCCTAGCTCTCCAACAAACGACAAGCGCATGGCTCTCACTGAATGACCACCTATTTTGATAACCTATAAATATATTGTGATGTTGGTTTTTCAATAAAACAGAAAAAAATAAACAAAAAGCAAGTAAAATGTATTCACTGTGCATGTTTTATAAAGCAATTTTTGAAAAAGTAATGTCACATAAAATCAATTTGTGTCTTATTATTTTATCTTGTGTAATACATGTACCTGCATGGGCATAGCTGGGTATGAGAGAGATGTTTTTCAGATATATTTCAATTTAAATTATGGAAATTAAGCCAAACAGTTACAGTAATATACATTTTTAGCCCCAATATCAGGTCTATTATTTTGCCTCCACTAATTTTAGATCAGTGCTACAGCAAATGACCTGCATGGAAATCTTTTTCTGAAAGTTCTTAGCACTGGCGGATCTGGGGGGGGGGGGGGGGCAGGGGCCCCTTTTTGGACATAAATGGGCCTTCTAAGCCCTTATTTTTTCATTTAAGGCCGAATTTTGTTCAGAAGTTTGGCCCCCCCCCCCTCTTGGTTCCCAGATCCGCCCCTGCTTAGTGTAAACATTATTCAGCTAGACACTGCAATATCATGGATCTCTTTAAAATTAAGATTCATAAATATTTATGTTGTAACATATTAGTAAATAGTTTTTTTGTAGCTCTTACTTTGTGTGTAGAAAATGGGAATGCCTCATTGCTAAAATCTGTATCTGATAGGGCTGACATTACTGCACGGCTGAAAAATAACATTTAAAAACAGTATTATTTTTTACCAGTATTATCTTTAAAAATTGATTTGCATCATTTTGTGGACTAACATTGTGTATTGTAAAAAATGTGAAAAAGTGGTTTCTAATACCACATATTTGAGACCATTTATTAATACAACAAGGTTCTGTAAACTACAAAAGCATACAGGAAAAATAGTTTATGTAGAAATATATATAGAAACTTAGTTTTATGCTATGTTATGTTTTAGAGCATATCATTTGTTCTGCATTCAGAGGCATGCCATATTATTAACAAATTGAATTGTTATATATAATGGTCAATCAATTTTCTCATACACTTGATTAGATACTTTCCAAAAATGGGGCTTTACATTTAACTCAAACATTCCATTATGGCACTTATCCAGAAAACAAGGGGTCATGGGTTCGATCCACACTGGGGTGAAATGACTTTTTCACATCATCCCTAGTTGCGGTAATAGAACAGAATATTTAAATTAACCAATAAGTGCATAAAGCCCTATATACCTATTTGGTCCCTGAATGCTAATCATCCCCATGTCATCTGAGAGATCTGTGAGTTGACAATTGAACTGGTTGTCTTGTAGTATATCCAGAATGTGAGAGTATGTATACTGAGCTACCCCTCCTCCAACAGCTACGTAGAACCCACTACCTGAAACATATGGATACTTTTAAAATTCAACTCTTGAAATAAATGGATAGTGTTCAGTATTCAGGGCTCTCACTAGAGAATTTAGAACCTTGAGGAAAAGACTCGACATTCGTGCAACTTGAAATTCTTGAATGCATTTTGAGCCTCAGCTCATACATCAAACTAGACAATGATACTTTTAAAGACACTTTCTCGTAAAAATCAAGATAATAAGGAAATCTGTTTGTACTGAGACATTCAGATGTTTAGAGCATCTATCATGCTTTTTTAAATATGTAGATAAAATATATAGTAAAACCTATGAAGCGAAACATCTCTGAAAGTGGAACACCTCCATAAGAAGAACACTTTTAAAGTCATGCAATCCATTTACTTAATACAAAACAGATGACTGCAAGTGGTATACCTCCCAAGTGGAACACTTTTAGGGTACTATGTGGAACACTTTTAGGGTACTAAGTGGAATACTTTTGGGGTACAAGGTGTTCCACTTTAAGAGGTTTACTGTCTAACTTCATTAAAAAAATTAACACCCACAGAAGAAAATCATACGGATATTGTACATGTACCTTCAAATGCTGGGTCATGTGGTCCTCCAGATCCTGGCTCTAGAACTGATACTGTCAAATCTGCCTGTATGCCTCCATACTTGTGTAGCATACAGGTATAGACTGTAGACCCTGAAACCATACATTAAAACTGGAATATATATTTTGACATTTTCTGATAGCAACTGACCCCCTGATCATTTTGTAACTGCTGCAGATCTAAAATAAAGAATAATATTAATTAAGACATTTCTGTACATTATTTGTAAGTAAAACAAAACAAGATTCAGTGATGATTGATGATAAATATTGCACATGAAGAGCGAAATGGTCCCCTTTTCAAATACCCAGCATGCCCAAAACTTAAATCCATTGATTAATAGGTACTTCATGAACCTCGATGCAAGAATAGCCTACAGTTCAATGGAGTATAATTTCTGTCATTAAGTTACCTGCTTTCTTCTGCATATTATTTGAGAATATCCAGTCAGCTGCCTTCTGGGCATCAGGTCCTGTGAGGTAGTACTTGCCAAAGTATGACATGTTGAAGACAGCGACACTTTCACGACATGTAAGACACTCATGCTCAATCTAAACAACAACAACACAATATGTACTGTAACTAAATGCACATTTATGACACATATTTTGAAAAACATCAGCTCACTTGAGTAGCTTAGTGGTTTAGTAGCGTTTCCTTTGATGCAGTGGCCCCTGGTTCAAACTCTGGTTTGGGCAAGACTTACTAAGTAGACCACAACTAGTACAAAAGACTGCAGTGTGTACTTATATGCATATAAATAGATGTACATAAATGAATGCAAGTTTTTTTCAAAGTAAGGTTCCCGAGTCTGCCAGGATCACATGTGTAAATTAAAAGAATTCTAGGCGATATAAACAACAAAATATTGTTGTATTGTTTTTTTAACCATTTTGTCGGCTGTACTGTTACAGTATGCCTTTAGACCCTATAGACAGTTGAATTGGATTGTGTATCTCTGACTGATAAATGAATTGAATGCATACTTGCTCATGACAAGGTGGGAAGTCAAAGTTGTACTCTTCTTTCAGCTTATCAAAGTATTTATTGTCTTCGTGCTTCTGGTTGTCATAGTAACCATAGTAGTCATACTCCAGAGGCTATAATTTGATAATTTTAGCAGTTATCAAGTAAAAATAACAATTATGTAATGTGTATTGCAAAACTGAACACATGTTATTCTACAGCATATTAAAATCTAAAATGTGAAAAGTTGATAGCCTTTAAAAGTCAAAGGAAGTCAAAAAATGGTCAAACATGTTGTTTAACAAAGATATCCTATTACAACCTCTATAAACTTTGCTGCATCTCGGTTTGCTCTTAACAATTTCACATTAATCAAAAGTCATAATACACTTACTGGAGCAGGCCCATCTTTATTGAAGTACCCTGGTCTCTCCCATCCCTGTCTCTCCTCAAATACACAACCAGCATCTACCATTGTCTGCAATGCACATTTTCAACAAAATCCTTTAGCGTATTACTTAAGAGAGCTACAACAATCAATACAGGTTTTACTATATATATATTTATCTTCACAAAGAGGTGGTATGAACAGGTTCTACTCTATAAAAAGGTAGCGGATTTACATGAAGTTTCCAAACAATTTGAATATAAATGAGATTCAATTATTTCTAGTAAAATTCGGAGAACATTTTACCATCGAAAGTCATCTTTCACGAGGACCAGTATATACTTTCTCAGGCATAAAATTTTCTGTTTTTAATTATTGAATAACACATATGTGTATATGGGTAAATATAATGAAATACCCTCTTGATAAGGAGCATAATTGTATATGTGTACATACAGTAAAACCTGTCTTAGTGAACACCCGTCTCTCGTGAACACCTGTGTTTAGAGAACACCACTTCAAGACACAGTTTACACTGACTCCTCTGTGGTGAACACTTTTTGTGGCACCATAGGTGTTCACAGTATACAGGTCTTACTGTATCATGATATACCCACTTGATAAAGAGCATCCGTCCGTGTGTTCCTTGCTGCTAGTGGCTGGTCATGAGGAAATAAGATGGAATAGTTCTTGTTGTAAGACTCATGACTTCGTTCTCGCACCCATCTATCATTTCCAGTCAAACGTGTAGTGAAGCGTCTGATGTCATAGTTATACATGTCCAAATTTGGGCGACCATCAGCGATCCAGCGAGAGAGCTCTCTAGCACAACCACCACCTAAAATATAGCACATGAAATCAGAACTAAATCCATCAACTGGTATTTGAGTTATCAACCAGACAGATGGACAGGTGAAGAAGCAGTCAGTTGGATGGACTTACAATAGGATATATAGACTCTTAAGATGTCATGTTCTGACATATTAGTCATTACAAAATAAAAACATTGTACTACATTACACTACACTACACTAAGTCTAAGCTATTATAATACAGACAATTTATACAAAGAAACATTATTAACATATGTTACAATGTACTTTGTGTGTGATAAAGTGGTTAAAAGTATATAGGTAAAGCTTATCACCAGTAACATTCACTAAAAATAAGAATATATCAAAATTGAACCTGCATTTATAGATGTCATAAGTGACCATAAGCGATGGTTTGTATAAATAAAAATGTCCATATTGTCGAGCTCTATAGAATCTCTTTAAATAGTTTCTAAACAAGAGACATCTGTCTCATCCTATCAGAGAGCAACACTCACAGATAGTGCATTATTTATGGCAACAGATATAGTTTCTGCAACATCTGACAGAAAATTTAAGATTATTGTAAAGTCGTTTGACATTAGATGATATAGAAACCCTTACTATCCCAAACCTAATAGACAAATAACAATACATAGAAGTTTGACCCATAAATGAAATAAAAATACCCTGGCTAATATTTCTTCACTCTTCACATTATTCATTAATAAACATATTCTTCCTTAATAATTTAACTTACTGAACATAAGTCCTCCACTGTTGAACCCACTGGCGTGATAGAATCCTCTAACCTCTGTAGCCTCTCCCAATAGAGGGCGGTGATCTGCAGTGAATGACTCAGGCCCGCACACTGTTGATTTTATCCCCGTCTGCTCTATGATAGGCACTCTGTGCATGGCTCCCATGATATTATGACCAAATACATCCCAGTCTAGTTCAAACAGGGAAAATGCAAAGTCTTCTTTCACCTAAAAAATGTATATGTACATAAATGTATATGAAATGTGTATCTTTAAAGGGGGATTTCAAACTTGCGAGCAACTCCCATATTTATGATTAAAATATCAGGTTATATCCATAAACATGGTACCCAAGTCAGGATTGGTAAGGGTATATTAACAGCACCGCTACTCCATCTTAAATTTGAAAAATATCTTTACTGTTTTTTAAATGTCTTATTTCAGCCCAACAAATTGAAGTTAAAATCTAACTGCAGAATATGATATCAAAATATTGAAAGATACAAATAGCAGAATTGGAAGCAATACATGTACATTTCCTCAATCAATATAAAGTGAAAATATCCAAAATTCTGTTATTTTGACAGTTTCATTAATCTTACTCCTATTTATACCCAATTAAAATTTAAAATTCAAGCCTTGAATTATTGTGTGCATTTCCTTATATCCCACATGATGGACCCGTCAATTGAATTAATGATTACCCAGTTAGCATTAGAAATAGAATTTATTGCCCTCTGCACTCTGCAGAGAAGTTCAGTAGCCACAAAATGATGGGTGCTATCCAACTTTTGACCCAACGATTGATTTAATGTACTGTGTTTACTTAAGAGGGTTGTCATTCATAATATCAATAAGATATCCTGGACCTTGTCACTTTAATAGCTTAATTGCATGATAACAATCTCAAACTCACACCAGCTGGCCACATGTTCACTAGATTATATGATATAACAACACTGAAAGGTGAAATATTTTCGGGAATATTTTCTAGCGAATACACACGAAGTCACATCTTTGGAGCTTATTCATTTCAATTAAAACATAATGTTTTTCTTCTGTTCAAATGATATATCAACCCATTCCTCAAATCTAAACTCATTTTAACAACATATGAAAATATAAAAGCAAGAGATTGATCAACAAAAGCTTTTAAAGGTACCCACCCTGTCATTTTTACATGAAGCAACAAGTTCATCATTTCTTTGGATAAATTATTAAAATCAAGAAAATGACTGCTAATTGCAAATCCAGTTGGAAAAATACCATACACATGCATATGGCATCTTGGAATAAACAAGTACATGTAAAAGCAAACAACTTGAGATTTGAGAATCATACTGAAGATATCTTGAAAACATTTGAAGTGGAACATCACATCAGTTATATGTGGTGAGTATTGGATATAGAGCACTTTATCTCTAAGGTAATATCTACAAGAGGTATATAAACCATACACCTAAACTTCCAAGTACATATTGTGACCCTTATATAGTGACCACAACCGGGGAATAAGATATTGTCTCTCGATAAAAGGCATTATTATTAACTCACATCATCCCAAAAAATGGGATTTGGTTCATATCCACCCACAGAAAGCGCATCACCCTGTAGTTTCAGGTACACTGATGCATCATGGTCTCGGCTGTTTGGCATATTTTGGATTCCCTCAATTTTTTCTGTGACAACATAGGCATGTCGCATAGCAACCTGTGGCACAGTGACGCCTGCCATCTTTCCAAGCATGGGAGCCCAGACACCTTAAAGAAGTGGTAAAATGAAAGTACATTGTAGTTCTCCAAAAATATTAAATAAGCATAATGCTTACAAAATATTCAAGGTACATCAAATACAAAGCAGTAGAAGAAGTACTGTATATGAAACCTATTTAAAGGTTAAGTGTAATTGTCTAAAAATACATTCTAATCAATGGATAAATATATTGATCGAGAAAATGGGATTCTGTGCAATGCTGATTCTACCAACTTTCATGTTGATGCACACTCAAAAATAGAAACCAGCCAATGCATAAACATGCAAAATGTCACCACTTGCCATTAGTTACAGATGCGGACAACTGAATGATGACCACCAACTGTCAACCACCAAACACTGTCCAGAAAAAATTGAAAACTATGACAATATGTTACCACTTCTAGTGGTGACATAAAAAACTAACAGAATACCTGTGCAGTTGACAATTGCATTAGTTGTCACATCTCCTAATGTGGTCCTGACTCCTGTGATCATCTTGGTGCCAAAGTCATTAACTGTTGTCTCAACACCTTTCACTATACACTTAGTAAACACCTGGAAAAAACATAATGAGTGTATTGGTGCTGTATATGGTCTTATTCCATAATACTACTGTTTTCCCAGGAAAATATGAAGGAATAAAAATCCTATTGAATCTTATTACATGAAAAAATTGTATTGTCCCCCAGAAAAAATTGTATTGGAGCATATTACATGAAACAATTCTCCTTTTCGCGGTACGCTCTTTGAATCAGAACGTTCGCAAATATGCACTGAAAAAGCACTCAAAAAGGACAAAATTTGATTTGTCAATATTTTCCCACTATGCATTTCGCGTAGCTATTTGCGTGACACGATAGTTCTAAATCAAACTAATTACTCAATTTTGTTTTTACACCCGCACGCTAAATAAAACAATGACACCAACGTAAGTATTCTTCTTTGTCATTGCTTTAATAGTCAGTATACCGAGTTTAATCAATAAAAGATTGTACAATGAACAACAAAATTCGGAAACGAGTACTATAGATTTGCTTTCGGACCACTGAACAGATTGACCTAGATAATAGCGACGCGTCTTCTTTGGTCTACTGCTCAGTTGCTTGTGGGTTTTCAACGTAACTCTATAATGTAATTTGAAGATGAATACTTTTATTCAGTTGTTGCATCGATGTCGCAGTTTGTAGTGCGGTAAGACTGGCATGAAAGTATTGAAAGTCGAATGGAATTGTTTTTTCCAATATGGCGACTAGTCTACTTTTCACGTGACCTTCTCTTCCGGAATATTTTCTCACTTTTCAATCATCGTTTTCACCATGCTATGAATTAATACAATGAAAAAAATAGCTGTTATATTAAGATTAATGAGAGATCAATCGTTTCTAATAATTTTTTCTGTACTCTCGTACGGGAATATGAACAAATATATCGTTTGAAAAATAGGTGTGAAAATCCCCATGTTAAGCCTATGAGGGAAAATAAGGAAGTATAAATTTGTTCCTCCGCGAACTGCATCATGGGAAATATTTTGCCCTTATAAGGAAAGATTTTCGCGTCTTCTCTTTTGAAGAGGGAACACACTTTCGAGAATTGTTTTGTCCCCAAGAAAAATTGTATTGGATCATATTAACCTATTTTTGGTTTCCCGGTTGTTTTATTTGTTTTTTTATTTTTCAAACAATGTACATTTATTAATATAATATTTGTATTATCCAAATGTAACATTTTAGAGGGATGTATTATGGAATAACCTACATTTATATATCTTCCCTGTGTGAAACATATGCGCAATCCACAGATTTTTATACATTTTTTTTTTTTTTTTTTTATTATTTTTATAGATTTTTATACATGTAGATTGTGATATAAATGTGGAAGAAAATCCCTCAATGTCTTATCCCTCAACAGTGAATTCAGTCAATTATAAATATGTTGTCTTCTCTAATATTTCTTCTTATTCTATTGAAATGGAAGATACCATACCTTTCCTCCTCTACTGGTTGCACCCCTCGTCAGTGCCATACAGTAACCCGCAGGATCAATAGTTCCATCACGTGGACTGTAGAGGGAGCCACCATCAGGGAACATATCGTCAATGAACATGTGAGGGTAGAGTTTCTTTGTCTCCTCAGGGGATAAAAGATGAGACTCAACCCCATAAGCTTTTCCTAACTGAAATAGTAATTATATTATCAATTTATGACATATACAAAAAGTGCCTATTTGGTGGTGTCTCATGCCTATCCACTATTTTGTCAAGTTTTTTTACCATTTTAAGATTTTTCTTTCAAATTGAGATATTTTTGGGCATTTGTGGAATCAAAACAGAAAGTGAAATCCTAGCCCCATGATGTATTTTTAAATAAATAAGTCACCATAACACAATGTGATATCAGTCAAGCTAATGGTTTCTTATCAGGTATTACATTTTATTAATGATAAGACACAGGAAATAACACAAAATTAAATACTTTCGTTTTGCATCCAGTATTCATAAGATTGAGTGAGAACATTTTACATAAAAAATGTCTTCATTTATTTCAAGGATTACAAGTACATGTTTTGTATATTTCATGTATTCACTTTCAACAAATTGCTCAGCATCGAAAGGCACACCTGGCACAGGTAACTATATTTGGGATAATGCTATTACCAGTACTTGTATTTTGGTTTATTTCATATTATTCTACCAGTGCATTCTTTTTTTCAGCATTAAGAACATGGAAGGATATTTAAAAGAGAATGTACTTGAAAAGTGCTCAGAATGGTGAAAACCTGTGATTTTGACAGAATTTCTGGTTACGGGCCTGACCAATAGGCGTCTTGAAAAGAAAGACCAACTTACAGCAAATCTTGACATATATTTCGGGCAGTATTAAACATACTTGATCCAAAACCATCGGTCCATGTTATATTAGTACTTTATTTTCAGGTGACTGTTATTTTGGAGGCAATTACTTTTTCATAAGACAAGGTTGGGGATTAACTTCAAATTGTAATATTCAGATGTCAACTTGTCAAACGTCTTACTTCACTAGAAGAACCTGGGTTGCATATAGAAATACTGATGACATATGTTCTGTTAGGTCATTGGTGGTTAACGATGTGTATTCCTGTATGAAACGTGTATGTGATACCAAAGCGAATGTTTTAGATTTCTTCACTGACACTGGACTATGTAAAATTATGCACTGCAGATGGAATTTCAAGACTTGGGAAAATAATTTTAACTTCTCAAATCAGTTGAGATTATCGGATAAAGTGACTACGTATACATGGCATATAATAGTACCAGAGAAGATAACGAAAACAATCGTAGCATCAACAAAAATATTAATGAACAACAGTACAGAATCAACCAGTCAAATTATCACTATGACAACGGATTCTGAAATTGACGGAAAAATCAAAAATGAAACACTGACATCAATCACAGACCAAATAAAACCTAAAACACTGGTATTTATATTAGCTGGAACAATGGCAGCACTCTTGGCAAGTATTGCTCTAATTGTGGTTTACGTCATCAAACAAAGAAACAGAAGGCAGGGTTTGATAACACGGACAATTTCAGATGCTTCAGAACTATCATCATGGGGGTTTTCTATGCGCTCTTCAGTTGTCTCATCAAATAGAAACTCTGGAACTTCAACATATGTTTCTATAGAGGATTCGAGAATGGTTCCACAGCTTCATCCATATTTCAGAAATAAAAGGAGTGGTCCAGAGAATCTTGGACCGTTCCGAGCTGTACAAAAAGAATTAAGTGATTTATTCAAAGAAAATAGTCAGGAAGCAGACCAAGTGGCAGGTGAATATGTTGGTCTCATGCAACCTGAAGGAACTTAAACTATGATTTAAAGTAATCCAAGCTATTCTAGGGTTGTGGTGTGTTATTCAACAGATATTACATCTGATTAGGGAATACTATTTTATATCAAAATATTTTAACTAAAAGTACAAGGAGAATAAGATGGACATACAATTACATGTACTGAACATGTATATTAAATTGTCTTACATGATGAGAGATAACGCCGGGAGAAAAATATTAACTTATTAATATTACAAATTAACTGAATATGTACCTTTAAATACCTGGTTCTATTCATCACAGTTTTTTTTGTATAAAAATGTGCACATAAAAAAAGTAATTGAAATGCAATGTACAGTGTACACTGCAATGTATACAATTATATTATCATGTAAACCAACTAAAGATCTAAATCCAGTATTTCAGGTACTTGGTGGTCATGTTACTATATTTTGGTAATTTTCTACTTTTGTTTTTATACATTTTGAGGAAGAAGTCACAAATGTGTATGATTTGTCAATAAGAAAACAGAAGGGCCAGGAGAAGCAAGTCATTATATTATGTTTTGGCACAATCAATTTTACGAGAAATAAAAATGAGACCTCATTTGTGTTGAAGATGTAAGTAATAAGGAGAGACAGTAAGAAAAATAGTAACTGAAGGCACAACAAGTTAAAAGAAAACAAACCCCACAATCTAAGTTTATGAATAAACTAACAAATAAATGTTAATAAACTTAATAAACTGTACTATATATGTATCACATGGTAGGGTCGCAAAATTTTTCGCTATGGGATCACATTATTTTTGGAAAGAAGAAAATCTCACAATTAATATTTCAACTTAGATGTTTCGTAATATAAAAGAAAATCATATCACAAGCTGGGGTCGTAAAAAATTTCGCTACGAAGGTCACACTGTTTTTGGTTAACTCACAAATAATATTTTAACTCTGTCGATGTCAGATTTTTCGTTTTATCAAAGAAATTCATTTGCAAGTAACCTTTCCAATAACCCTATGAATAAAAGCTATTGAAAACATTCTTGTTTGCTTTGGGGGATTGTCCTACATTGGGAGGATCAGGTTCAACCATGATATTCAGATCCCCTATGGCGTATTACAAAAACTATCTCAAACTTACACTATGCAATCTTCTATAGTCATCCATCCGGACTTTGTTGTTTGCCACAAACAGACCACCATTGTTGATCCAACCAGGATCAATGCCAGTCTCTGCTTCAAGTGATTCCATGAGGTTGCGGGCGTAAACCAACATGTCAACTTCTACATCACTGGTCCTGAGGTTCCACACGAGACCTTAACACAATCAAGTCTTCATAACCAACGTGTATTTTATGGTATTGTACCTTTATTTCCTCCAATACTGAAGAGCACAAGAAAAAATAAGAACAGAAATGGTGGGATTGTGTAATTTACCTCCCCTACCAAGGTGGATTTCCACCTACTCACCACACCATGTAGGGTGTATTTCTCTTGCATAATTATCACCAGATTTAGACAATTTGATTAAGTAAATACTACTGTATTTGCAGTTTATCATTTATACAATAGAAGGCTGCAAATATCAACACTCACAAAACAAATTATTAATGATCTATTAAACATTAAACATGGTGGGTGGGTAGGTGGAAATCCATCTACATGTAGGTAGGGGAGATAAATTACACAATCCGAACAGTTTATTTTTAAACTGAAAGAAATAGTTTGAGCCAATGAAAAAGTTGTCACATGGCCTTATAATAGCATGATGTACCTATAGTTTGTACATACCACTCATACTCATCTCTTCTTTATTCCTAGGGGACGATATGATATTTTATCAAAACATCATACTTTCCCTAGGAATAAAACCAATATTCAATCCATCTTAGTAAATAACCTCTACATAAGAATATAACATGTACACTAACCTGCACTGTGCCATGAGGTCCCAGATGTTAGTTCATCCCTCTCAAGCAGTATAACATTGGTCATACCCAACTTGGTTAGATGATACAACATGTTGCATCCCATAGCACCCCCACCTATAATAACTACATCAGCATGGCTTGGTAGAGACACTGGACCTTTAGAGTCCTTAACTTTCTCCCACCTAAAGTGAAACATATTGTAGTTGGTTAAATAGCTCATACACCCCATAACCCTATACCATTCTCCAACCCGAAGTGAACCACATTGTACTTAGTTAAATATTTAACACACAAAACCCTGGACTTTTATACCACCTGAAGTGAAATACCTTTGTTCCATTTGAAGTGAACCATATTGTAGTAAGTTAAATAGTTGATACGCCCGTAATCATGTACCTTTCTCCCATTTGAAGTGAACCATATTGTAGTAAGTTAAATAGTTGATACACCCGTAATCATGTACCTTTCTTCCATTTGAAGTGAACCATATTGTAGTAAGTTAAATAGTTGATACACCCGTAATCATGTACCTTTCTCCCATTTGAAGTGAACCATATTGTAGTTAGTTAAATAGTTGATACACCCGTAATCATGTACCTTTCTCCCATTTGAAGTGAACCATATTGTAGTAAGTTAAATAGTTGATACACCTGTAATCATGTACCTTTCTTTTATTTGAAGTGAACCATATTGTAGTAAGTTAAATAGTTGATACACCCATAATCATGTACCTTTCTCCCATTTGAAGTGAAACATATTGTAGTAAGTTAAATAGCTCATACACCCCATAGCCCTGTACATGTACCTATCTCCCACCTGAAGTGAACCATATTGTAATTTGTTAAATAGTTGATATACCCTGTAACCCTATACCATTCTCCAACCTGAAGTGAACCACATTGTACTTAGTTAAATATTTAATACACAAAAACCCTGGACCTTTATACCACCTGAAGTGAACCATATTGTAGTAAGTTAAATAGTTGATACACCCGTATTCATGTACCTTTCTCCATTTGAAGTGAACCATATTGTAGTAAGTTAAATAGTTGATACACCCGTAATCATGTACCTTTCTCCCATTTGAAATGAACCATATTGTAGTAAGTTAAATAGTTGATACACCCGTAATCATGTTCCTTTCTCCCATTTGAAATGAACCATATTGTAGTAAGTTAAATAGTTGATACACCCGTAATCATGTACCTTTCTCCCATTTGAAATGAACTATATTGTAGTAAGTTAAATAGATGATACACCCGTAATCATGTACCTTTCTCCCATTTGAAGGGAACCATATTGTAGTTAGTTAAATAGTTGATACACCCGTAATCGTGTACCTTTCTCCCATTTGAAGTGAACCATATTGTAGTTAGTTAAATAGTTGATACACCCGTAATCATGTACCTTTCTCCCATTTGAAGTGAACCATATACTGTAGTTAGTAAAATAGTTGATACACCCGTAATCGTGTACCTTTCTCCCATTTGAAGTGAACCATATTGTAGTTAGTTAAATAGTTGATACACCCATAATCGTGTACCTTTTCCCATTTGAAGGGAACCATATTGTAGTTAGTTAAATAGTTGATACACCCGTAATCATGTACCTTTCTCCCATTTGAAGTGAACCATATTGTAGTTAGTTAAATAGTTTATACACCCATAATCATGTACCTTTCTCCCATTTGAAATGAACCATACTGTAGTTTGTTAAATAGTTGATACACCCCATTGCTCTGTTCTCAGATGGAGCAGGTTCGATTCCTGGCTCAGTCATATTTTCTTATTATTTTTGAACCAAAATACATATTCCTGATCCCTTTTTATATAACGCATAGTCATACAGATAACTTTTAAGGGTTTTAAATTGTAGATAAAATGTAAAAAGTCCCTTTAAACAGTTGATACAGCCCATATCCCTGTAACTTTCTCACAGATGAGCTTCCCAAAAGTGATTTACTTTGACTTACTCATATGGAACAGCTGCAGGGGCCTCTGTGGTTTGATTGGTTGTTGAAGAACAGCTTCTCGCTAACTGTTTGATGCTTGAAGCACGTCCTGGTCTAACCAGCCTGTTCACAGTATTTAATCCAACACGTAGCATATCTGAGTAAATATATGAAGAACATCAGTTACACATTATTCTTTGTGGTGGCTCATCAAACAGCTTAATTTAGTGTTACAAGTATATATATGAGAAAATGTAATAAGGGGAACATATATGCATTTAGAAATGGAATGTAGATGGAAGTTAATGATGTCAAAAACATATGTTTTCTCTCAGTACATTTTTCAAATTAAAAAATAGTGCATTAATATTCAACAGATTTTTCTCAAACTTGGATCAGAGAAAGTTTTTTCCCTCTTAAATACAATTTTTTTGAAAAATTCATGTGTGTAACAAATACACTCACCTATATTGTATTCTATCTGCTGCAGCAAAACTGTGTCAAACACACATGCTATATATCTAGAATGCACAAATACAGGTAGTATTCATTTCTGTTACACAGTGTGTTACTTAACTTATTGGCAAACCTAGTTGGGGTCACACTGATAGCCCCTCTCAAATATCTTATTGTTATCATTTGATCATCATAATCTCCCTGCAAATAGAGACAATATAATAAAAAATTGAATAAAATATCAATGTCAGAGATAGTGAGAAATACTTTACAAATAAAATACTCTCATTTAAGTCATAATTTAAAGCTATAAATATGACTATTGAAAGAGTGTCCCTGTGAGTAAAATATTCTGCTGAGATATTTCAAACAAGACATAACGTTCAAATGAGGTATGTTACAAATCACCACTAGCTAAAAATAATAGTAAACTACACAAGTATATAAAATGCGAGCAATAATAGCCATTTTATCAAATGGTAAAGTGAAAAGTCATGACAAAAGGAAGACATGTTATGCCAAAAAGACCAAAGATTATTGTCAGTTGTTTAGTGTGATATCATATCTTTAACTCTAGATTAATCTTGACAATCATTAACGTAAATAAAGTACAGTTGGCAATGGACTGTGTTATTTCCTGTTAGAACCAGTTTGTCCCTGATAGACTCCCCTTGAAATTATATTTAGTACTCCAGAAATATATTTACAGGCCTATGGCCAGGTTGTTTCTCTCTGGCTAGAAAGTCTTTCAAAATCATGCAGTTTTTCACCATACTGAGCATTTTTCACATAATTTTTTAGCCAAAACTGTCAAAAAGCTCCTCTTGGCAAAGCTCCCACTTGGTAAAAAATATTAAGAAAACCTTATAATCTATTTTTTGATGCAGACCTTACAATATGAAGAAAATAACCTATTCCACTATTCCATATAATGGGTATATCATTTATCACCTCCACTCCCGGGGGGTCACCTCCACTTTCGGGGGGGGGGGGGGAGTCATAGGCTGAACCCTCAGATATCAATATGTTCCCATACCAATCTGTCAAATTTCAATATGTTCCCATACCAACCAAAATAATACCTCAAAGCCATACCAAATGTCCAAACATAAGTTATAGATCCACTATACTTAATTTAGAAAAAAAAATCATTGAATCATGTTACTCACACACTCGTTCAAATATGACACAAAGTTTGATTTGCTTTAATATTGAACCAAGAAAAAAATAATTCACATAGAAAAAAGCATTTGACGTTCAGAGATTATTAGACATGCATGCACATGTTAAACAGAGTGTGTGTTAAAAATTACTGTTGATTTAAAAGATGGCGACACTTCTATAAAAATGAATGTATCATGTAATACAAACAACTTTGCCATCTTTCAATGACATTGATAAAAACTTGATATATAAAGCAAGACAGATCGAACATATTATTTAATAATTTATTGTAAGCTTTGATGTGGTCCGTTTGACATGTTTGAGCTGTTGTTGGTGTCAAATGAAAGATAAGGTTCTTATTAATACATTGGACATACTATGAAATTCAAATGTAAGTCTTTATTTTGCCAAAAAACATTGAAAATACGCAAAGTGGGCCTGTCATAAAGTTTTCCATTCCTTTGTACTAAGAGCTTCCAAGCATTTTATCAATTTTTCACTTTTAGAAACACTTGAATTGTCCTTGCCACCAATCTCTTATCTTCTCAAAGGCTCCCGAGAATGCGTGGCAACAATGGAAGAGAGACTGACTGTTATATGTCTTCTGAACATTTAATATCCTAGAGACTATAGTAAGTGACAGTGGCGTAGCCAGCAATTGGTGACCAGGGGTTCGATTTTTTATGTATCCACAAATCTCCCCCTTCATCGGTGTACCTCACATAAAAGCATTTTTTGTATTTGTTATACATACGAGGGGTGATCAATAAGTAATGGACGCTTTTTTGCACAGATGCTTTTTATAGACCAATTCCTTCGATTTTCTTACCAGTGATACATCATTCAATTATCTATCAATTCTGAAGATGTGAAAACAAAAGATGTAATATATTTTGATATATTTTTATTTCTGTGAAGGATGTATAGGTACCCCGGGACCGACATGACGTCAAACATTCTGAAGCTATTTTAGCTTGTTTAACATGCAATGCAGTTGAATGCAGGCTGAACAAAACAAACCATTATGGTCATGAATTACCCCATTTTGTCATGTCATAGTTGATTACGAATAGTTTATCATCACTATGTGGTACTATTCATGCCACATTCATTCCACAGGGCCCTCAACATAAGTTCCATCAAGTGCTACATGCACACAATTCCTCATACTCTTAACTCAAGATTGTGAGACAAGGTTGAATCCATTCTCTGACATGGTAGCAAGATGCAGTTGCACCAGTTGTTTTATTTCATCAATGTCATTAAACCTGCATCGATCCTTGCTCTATAGAAATAAGTAGTATAGAAATAAATAAGTCACTTATGAGCAGATCTGGACAATATGGTGCATTGGCCAAGGGCTCAATTTTGAGGTCCAAGGATATTGTTTTCTGAACATTTTGAGATCTGTGGGCAGGTGCATTGTCCATATGGAGTAGGGTGTTCCCTTCTCTCACCACCCCTTTCTTCCACAATGCTTTCTCAAATTGACCTGCAAACCCCTTCAATACAACACTCTGACATCACAGTACTTTCTGTTTATGTGTTACCAGTCAGCAAAATATTTCAAACAACACAACACTTGTTGCATATAAAAAGTTCAAATCTAACCGAAATTTGCCAAACTGGCTAAAAACTGAATATGTGATGTAAATGTCGGTCCCGGGGTATCTGTACCTCCTTCACGGAAATAAGGATATATCAACATGCATTTTATATTTTGTCTTCAAATCTTAAGAATGGATAGATAATTGAATGATGTATCACTGGTAGAAAAATCAAAGGGATTGGCCTATAAAAAGTATCTGTGTAAAAAAGCGTCCATTACCTATTGATCACCCCTCGTACGCGAATTTACACCCCTCCAAAAGTGTGGCAACAATTTGATTTTCTATATTGAAATAGTTTTTGGTGAATCTTTTACTGAAAGATATTGAAATCTGGTAGCAAAATCATACATTTTATATAACAATTGTTTAATTGTTCAATGAAATACAAATCAAGGGTTAGCATACATTGAGACAACTTTTGTTAAGGGCAAATTACAACATATCTCTAAGGAACATATTTTTTAACCAGCTACCATTGAAAAATCGTCATTCCCAATTCATCATTCAAAGATACATTATGTCAAATTCTGGCATGCTATTCCCACACTTTTAGATGATTTTTGAAAAGAATCCAAATCAAAAGAATTTTATCTGCCATTTCATTTTGTAATAGAGGAGGTCATAATGACCTCATGAACTTACAGTTAGTTTCTGAATACTAGTATATTCAAAAGAAAATATTTTTGAAGATATAATACTTATTAATCATGGCGCACAATAAAAGTCGTAATGGCTGCACGAATACTCTCAATTGGTACTGACGATAGAAGTGAAGATGACAAATAGTATTGTATTAATGGAATGAAACAGGCTAAATTAAAAAAGAAATTGAAATAACAAAATATCTACTGTGCTCTGTAAGCTCTAACATTTAACATCTCTTTTAAATTTCAATGCCTTGCAACAAATAAAGAACAACTAATGCTGAAAAACTTATTTGTTGTGCTTTCTTTGAATTGAAAATAAAAACTTTGAAAACATTCCAATTTCTATCACCGTTCCGCTGTTTTTATCATTAATGACGAGAATCATGAACGTTTTGAGAAATGAAAACATTTTAGATGAACTTGTGAATCATTATAACATGTATAAACGTTAATTTGTTCTATATGAGAAATGAACATTTTATTATCTTATTAAAGAATGCTGTTAAATCCTTTTTAGACACACGATTTAAAACTTGTGGTCGGCTAATCCTCTAGTCTTTCTGGCAAATACACTCCCCTCCAAAAGTTTGGCAATCTTAGCTCCCTGCCTCCTCTTTATATTTGAATTTGTATTAACATAACCTTCGAAGAAAATACTTATAATATTGATAAAAATGTAACTTGACTATATTTCCAATGCCTCCAAATTTTCCCAATTTCCCTTTCTTCTAAAGATGAATTTTTGAAAATCGTCATTCCCATGTAAACCAAGAGGAACCAATGGGCTCTTTATTTAATTAGTAGATTATATTCAGCCGCAGGCCATCTGTAATTAGGTCTTTGAAGTTTAAAAATCTCGATAATCTGTTGGCAATTATCAGTGGGTCAGTTTTTTTAGAAAATAAAAAGTGATTATCAGGAAGCAATGCATATTGGTACATCCCGTGATTTTTCTAATATTTTTTATGATGAACTTTTTCCCTTAACTGTGAAAATAAAGTACTCATTCGAAACACTTAATAAATCTAGTCTTATTTGATATAATCCTCCTTATGCCTTTGCTTTCCTCAGCAAAAGATGACTGCAACTGGCTTTTTTATTGGACAGAACTTTCCACTGCAAGAAATGTGTGTACCTTTTTAGCTTACACTTGTAAGTTGTAAGTCAATACAACCTTATTGAACGAAATGATCCCTAAATCAGCTTATGTGTGCCCGAGCACTTTAATATTTTCCAAAGTATCTACGATGACATTCTATTCTTCATGTTACACCTAAGAATGATTCATTTTGACCATAGGGATATTTGCCAATAATCGCACATCTTCCTTTACTATTTTTTCCTGGCCATATAAATTCAATAATATGTTTCTGGTTATTGAAATGAATTTTTCCACAAATATTTTTTGGGGAGAAATCCCGACCAGGGGTTCGTCCAAACCCATCGAACCCCCGGTCCCTACGGCTATGAGTTCGTTGAACTCTCCCGGAACACTTTCAGTTGAATCGTGTATACTAAAACGATCTGTGATAGATGTATAATTTCTGTAACAACGAAATTAGATAAGTCAAGGAATACTTACAAGACCTCCAGAGGTGTACATAAAGTTACGACAAAAATCACTGATATCATTTTAGTAACTTTGCGAAAAACGTTACTTATTTTCGTAGTTATTAACTTTCGGGAAATGCAAGTTTAAAATAAATTTTACAAACAACAATGGACTTCTCATAACTTTACAAACTTTCGAGAAATTAACCCCTGAGTGCCAACCATCAAGTTAGTTCATAACAACTAAGTGGAAAAACTATGCCAGGATTAAAAAGTGTCAGTTCGTTTGTATACATTTTAAACGTTTACATGTAATAATGCGTTTGATAATTTTATTGAATTCTATCAATAATATGATGAAAATCAATAAAAGAAGTAAACATAAACAGATACAGGTACGTCATGAGAAACAAAGATGAATATGGGGAGGGGGAGGTGATAAGGACAAACCTTAAGTATACACCAATCGAGCCCGATCGAGTCCCATCGAATCCCAACTTACCCCATCGAATCCCACAGAGTACCACGAGACCTTGATGACTTTGCCCATCGAGCCCCACTGGGTCTTATCAAATTACATCGTGCCCCATTGGTGTAGGTTGGGCTTCAGACATCACGCCATACAAAAATCCCACGATGCCCCATGGAAAGAATGAACATGTTCATTCTCGATGGGGCAAGATGATACTCCGTGGGATTTTGCCCCATCTTGCCCAATCGAATTTCACCAAGTCCATCGTGGGACTTCATGGGACACGATGGGGCAAAATCCAACCGAGTCCCATGGACTAGTCCCTTGGGGCAAAATCCCATGAAGTCCATCAAGGTCCCACGCAATGTTAAGTCTATCTATGGAGGTCCCAACTTGCCTCACTGGTGGGCTTTTCTTTGTGACACTGGTGGGCTTTTCTTTAAAAGAAAGCGTCTATTAAAAAAACTAAAGAGAAAATTCCGTTCTCATAACATCAGTACTGAGAAGCTAAGACTTGGAAGTTTCAAAAAATTAACACTTTTACAATAGTTTTGCTCTCATAATTCCGTCACTCCCGTTCTCTAAATGACCAACCGTTTTATTTCAGAATAACTCTTTGGTTATGTTTGCTGTTTAAAGAACAATCGACACCTTTTTCAATAAACTGAATCAGACATCACTGCATTAAATACATATTCAATTCGTGTGATAAACATTTTCCTTAAACCATTACATACTAAATAACATATAAATAAGCACTACTGTTAGCATTGCAATATTAAATAAAATACAGTACTGTACAATGTACATCTATCAAGCTGAACAAATAAATCATAAAATACCACTGACAAACGCATTGATACTCATATTAAAAAAAATGCCGTTGATATTGTGTAACATTGTGAGTCGATCAAATATAGAAATATACTTGTGATCAATATCTAATGCAGCTAGGATCCAGGCTGAGACATCTCAGATGGACTGGACCTATGCAGCTGGACCTATGCAGCTAGTCCATGCAGCTGGTAGCTTTGATAATATTCATCACAAAAGTTACATTATATCTATTCACCATCAATAAAAAGAATAACATATAAAGTTACTTAATAATGGATTGTGCTGAAAAGACACTGTAATATTCATTCATCAAAATTGTTAATACATGCAAGATAAGCTACATTTGCTGCGGATGGAAATGACATATGTTACTTATATTATACAGTCGCACGTTTCCGTACGACATTGTCGGCGATAAAGTTAGACTTTGAAAAGACTATAAATCATGAGATATTTCAGAAAGATCTTGGTTTTAACTATTTCAGCATGTTTACTTGTATACATTATAAAACGCAAATTTTGGATACAAATTCTCACCCGTACCGGCTTCAAACACCCTAAAACTGCTCTAACGCACCGCAGTTCTCAAAACGTTCGAAATAGGACTTCGCAACTCGAAGACGGCCGCATTTTCCAGGACTTTCTCAATCGGAATATTCAACTTCAAGATAGCAAGAACGTGTATTTCGATACAGTCGGCGGAGTTGTCTGTTACATACATGGTACTATCAGAAGACAGCTCAATTCTTGCATTTGCAGAGATGAGCTTACAGGAGAGGATTGCGGAATACCGCTAGTAGTAGCAGACGCACATACATACTCATCCCTCAAATCGAAATTGAAACGCCGACTAAATCCAAGACGGGTTTTGATGGCGATTACATTTAATCATGAATTCGATATGCTGGAAGCGAGGTTATATGAGCACTATGAACACGTGGATGTTTTCCTAATTGTTGAGTCAAATTATTCCTCTCACGGAGATCCTAAACCACTGAGACTACTGGAGAGACTCAAGAAAGGGTACCTTGCAGAATATGTTCCAAAGTTAATGTACATATTCTTAGATACATTTCCTTCATCCGGGAGAAAGGATGGTTGGGCTGCTGAGACCTACATTAAAAATGCTGCCTCTATTTTGGGACTTCCTCGACTGAACCAAACACGACCGGATGACTTATACCTATTTTCCGATGCTGACGAATTGGTCTCAAAGGAAATAGTAATATTTTTAAAACTTTATGAAGGCTATCCAGAACCTATGTCATTTTCACTAAGATGGTCAACGTATACATTTTATTGGAAAAACAAAGACAATACAGTAGTTACATCGGCTTGTTCATTGAATATGCTGAAAAGGCTTCTTGATGCTAAGTCGAACAATATTCGAGGGGCTGCCAAAGAATTGTCGTCGTCTAAAAACCTGAATAATGTCATGAGATATCGTAAGCTATATGGTGATGTGGACATTTGGGTGTTGGGGTCCACGATGCACCCAGCTGGCTGGCATTGCTCCTGGTGTTCCAGTCCTGAAGATATCCTAGTAAAACTTACATCAGCAATAAACGCAGATTTCCCGCGGTGGGGGGATTATCCCGAAAAAAGAAATCTCACATATATTTCAAACTTGATTAAGACTGGAACGTGGTTTAATGGAGAACGTTTGCCAACACCGACAACACTTGCAACAGAAAAGAATAGATCTTTTGCACCAGCGTTTTTCTTGGACCACTTTGATACGTATAAGAATTTATTAAGATATGACAAAGAAAAACAACAGGAATTGAAAATCAAAGCAAATGACCTAACTCATGCTTAATTAACTTTGGGTACAAAGAATTACCCAAGTCAAAAACATCTTTGAGAATACTCTCATCATCATCTTAAACGAAAACATCTTCTTTGAGAAAACCCTATCACACCAAGATTTTCTTCTGCTAGAATATCTTCAACTTTGTGATGGAAATTAAGTGATTACAGCCGTATTTGAAATGGAAAATGATTGACATTTACCCATTTCGCCTTCCAACTAACCTTTAATTGCCACCATTAAAATAATTAATTTGGCACGTTATGGCTTTGGGACAAATGTCACGAAACAAAAACATGGTGCTGTAGTGACATTACTAGTTTAGGTTATTGTTTTTACTGGAAAATACAAGAACATATTGGCAACATCTATCAATTCGGAAAAAGGGACGTGAAGGTTTCAAATGGGACTGGCCAGAGAAGACCAGAGACATATAAAAGAAACCTATGTCATCATTTAAGAACTGCTTGTAGGCTAATCGGGGTTTGTGTCAAACTCTGTAAGTAAACTGCTTCGTATAAAAACATTGAGACACAGTGAAAACAATAGAAAGAAACCACCAAACTATTGATGTTGATATCATTAGCATATGATTAGCAGATGTGGACATCTATAAAAGAAATGTGAATATTTCTGCGTATCCAGCTATGATATTCCGATTGGAGATGGCGTCAACAATAAAAACTACCAACCTGATAATAATACATGTAGTTGTGATATTATTATTATATTGTTATGCATCGTGGCCTTTTACGTCAATCTTTAAGTTTTCGGACCATGACGAACAAAATAGCCCTAAAATGAAAAATGCCCACATTGTTAAAGATGATTGGATGGATATTGCTTCAGGCGATTCAAAAATGACTGTAACTGGCAGGGATATCATTAATGACTCGGCAAGTGAAACCACAAACAGTGAATTGGGTATATCGGATGATAGACCAAAGGGTTGTGAGGTGATGCTTAACATTGTTACCACTTTCCCTATTGGTAGCCATACGAATGGATATGAAGTCCCTAGTCCCCGTCAAATTGAGTATTTTACGGCACTTAAAATCAACATGAATCATCCATGTGTCGATCAAATACATATTTTAACAGACTTGACAAAACCAAAAGACGTTTTCAACATGATAAATGATCAAGGAGTAGCTAAAAGTGATTTAAGAAAGTACATCACAGTTTACAGCTTCCATGATCATCCGACTTATAAAGTCCTGGCAAAATACGCAGCGGATAATCTGAAAGGTACAGTTGTGTTGTTTATGAACGCTGATATATCTCTAGATGAAGGCTTCGAAAATATCAAGAAAGCATTCTTGGTTGACCACGGCATGAAATATGCATATTCGTTATCAAGACATGGGGAACGCGCGCAAAATGCGACCTGTGAGTTATGGGATTACTGCGAACATTATCATGGTTCTCACGATGCTCATCTGATGTATATACACGATAATTTCTTACCATTTGAGGCACTGGAATTATTAGACTATCCCATCGACTCATGGGGTGCTGAAAATGTATTCATGTATGTTCTGCTATCGGTTGGATATAAAATAAGAAATCCCTGTGTTATTTTAAAAATATACCACAACCACTGTTCCAAAACTCGGTCAGTTGAGAGAGATCGAGTAAATAATGCATATTCGGTAGGAGCTGAACCAGTGGACTCTCTCATAGAACCAGAATAAGTCTACTCCTCATTCTAGGAGACATCGCCAAAATATTCAGAATGTAAATATTCATAAAATGTTTTGATGCTGAAAAACCTTGTTCATACAGTAAACACCTAATTTAGTGAGCACCAAGCACATTTAAGTGTTATTTTGGCATAAATGTTATGCTTGATTAAAAGTCTATCAGAACAAATGCTTCCATTTATACCATAATCAAAAATGAAATTAAATGTACTTTTCCAATAAAAACACCAACAAGGTTGCCATTTTTGCATTCAAATAGATAGAATCATATATTTTATTTATTTATTTATTTACTTATTTGACAGACACCTTAGAATCGGGGGCATTAAATTTTCTTTGACTAAATTGTCAAATTTGGCTTGCCCACAGTACACAAAGATTATATTACCTTACATGAATATTTTCCTTCATATATTGAGTATAAAATATGGAGCTTAATTCTCTTGGACATTTGGCCTCAATTTTACTATAAAATTCTTAATAAAGGGCATTCTAAAAGTCTATATGTGATATCATCTTCACATTTCCTTTCACACATCTTACAAGTTCCGTCACTTTTACCTATAGTTCTAAAATAAGATTACAACACTTGACGGATGGACGGACAGATGGACGTTGACTGATAGAGGTCCGTGTATTGCTAACACAAACATTTTTTCTATTTTTCGTCTTTTAACAAAGCACCGTGTGCACGCCAGTGAAATGAACAAAATGCGTAATACGTGCAAGGAGGGGGTGCATGAATGGGAGGGGGGGGGGGTCATACAAATTTTCCAAGCCGAAAACTCAACAAATCTGCAAGATTTAATTTTCCATGAGAAAGTTTACAAATAATTCTCAAAATTAATAAAAACACATTGTATGATAAAATGGATCAGACCTTAAATTACTTGCTAGGCTTCTACAGTTCTAACATACAGTTTGTAGATGGGATCTACTCATACAGGTCACCATGCCAGTTGTGCAATTAAAAGTCAAGCTATTCGCTGTAAATCAAACTGACTCTCTACATGACCTGTAATCAATACTTATATTGACGTCAACATTGAAAATCGTATGAGTGTTGATTTTTAATGAATTACAATGAACAAGGACGTCCTTACAAAGAACAACAAAAATGACAAGGCGTGGAGAAGGGAATTGCGTGGATGTGGAATACTTGTCAGATATCACTTCTCAGATGATTAGATGTCCATATAATCTTTATTCCTTGGTCACTAAATGTGGCGTGACTCCTGCTCTTCCCCCATCCACTAACATGTTAGTTCCTGTCACGAAAGAAGATTCGCTTGAAGCAAGAAATGCGACAGCCTGAGCAACATCTTTCCCTGAAGCTATTCTACCAAGTGGATGCACCCCACATTGTCTCTCCTTATACTGCAAACGACGTTAAAATATCAAAGTCAATAATTTGCATAAATAGACAACTTTCTCATGCAGGTCAATATATTTTCACATTGAGGAAATGTTTTTGATTGAATTTCAATGTGTGAACTTTTCTTAATCAGATGAATTGTTGGTGAATTAATGCATTTATTTCTTGAATACTGTTATCCTCAAAATGGCTAATATAAAAAGCTCGCATACAAGACAGCTGTTCATTAAACACTCTTCTTAATCACATTTTCTTGTAAATAATAGAGAGAATAATTCAAATCATTAAGATTGAAAATAAGGTTAAATAACATTACTGTGAAACCAAAAACTAATGTATACTTTTATAAATAATTTTCCTTTATTAAAAAAGTACATTACATTATTCAATTTAAAATGGTCGAGAGTAAAGTTTGGTTAAAGGATTACATAAAGCTTCTGGTATAAAAACATTTCCACCAACATTTCATTGAGTCAAGAGGTTAATTTATTAATTCTTTAGAATAGTACAGTGAAACCTGTATATCCAAAAACCTCTCAATCTGAACACTCTTTCTCGGTCCCAAGTTTGTTATCTCTCATTGGCCTATATCACTCCCGGGATATCACTCTACTATACCTAACAACTAGAAATGCATAAGCTACTTTGTTTGTCTAAATGTATTATTTAGTATATTTTTGAAAGTGCCTTAGTAACATCTTACATTTAACCGATAAACCATTAATAAAGAACAGACAAATAAAAACAAATACATAATCATTACTTATAAGCCAAATGGGTTGTTCATGAACACCAAATGCAAGTTATAGTAGAGTGGTATATGTACATTGAACGAGGCATTTAGATTAAACAGTTTTATTTTACCTCTGCAAACTGTTCAGGCGTCATAATACCATTGGTCACATACATCTCTGTATCTACTGTTCCAGGACTGAAATATGAAGAAAATAGATGTTTAACCCTGGAAATCCTATAACTTGCTATCATTATTTCATGTATTTGCTAAATACCATAGTTATGAACAGTGAACACATACTGATGTAGGAAAAAAATGATTATAAAATGTTGTTTTTCCTATTTGATTGGTTTGAATAATGATTGCCTTCTGTCCATTGTTAATGATGGCACAATAGTTTGTCATTGTTACATTGAATTCTCTTATTTTCAAAATAACTGGAGGTTGTCTATGAAATCCATGACTGTGAAAGTGATGACACCTATAAAACTTTGAGAAATCTTATGTTTTGCTTTGGGCAAGAGAGGTTAATGTATTCAATCCCAGTCTTGTAGAGAGATATTCTGGTGCTAACCTTTCAAATTCATTACTAATCCAATACAAGGCAATCAGGCCCGTAGCCAGGATTTGCCAAGGGGGGGTTCAGTTTTCAAAGATTTCCAGGGGGAGTTCACATTTGATAATTTTGGCCCAAATATGGCTAAAATCACTTGAGAGGTGCTCAAAATGGTGAAAAACTGCATGATTTTGAAAGAGGGGGGAGGGGGTTCGCCCAAACCCTGCAAACTCCCTGGCTACGGGCCTGGCATTTACATGACAAAATGTCACCACCTAGTTGCTCACAATATATGAGTTTATTCTTCAGTCAGATTTGAACTTGTACATGATTTACAATTGGTTAATTTGAAGCAAGCTAAAAAAGACCTTATTGACCTTTTTAATAATACTGTACTTAATTAGTAAAAGTAAATGAAACCAGAATACAGTAAAATCCCATCGGTTTCACATACTGTTAAACCAATGTATTCCTTCAGTCTTACACTGGTATGAAATACCTTGATGAACCAGGAAATAGGTTTCAACTCCTTCATTGAGGTATCATCATTTAATCTTTTACAGACAAATTGTGGCTCAAAAGCAGTCAATATCACGATTGAATTAATTCCTTGCTCCATTAATTGCTTTTATCACTGATCATCAGACAGCTCTCCAATAGCATATTTCAAACATGGCACTAACATGCAAAATGTCACCACCACTTTTGTTACAGGCACCGATTGCCGAACATCAACTGCCTAATAACATCCACAAAAAGTTGGAGATTCTAACAATATGTCACCACATCTGGTGATGACATAATTACTGAACAATACTAACTTGACTGAGTTGACTCTAACACCATCTGGAGCCAGTTCTGTAAAAACATAAAGTATGTATCACAAACATATTATAATGAGACATTTAAAATGAGATAAATGTCACCATTGTTAATTTAAGGATTTAAGCTCTGCAATGTAGAGTGACTTGTTTTCCAAAATTTGCAAGAGATGCACACATTGTGTGTTAATTAAGGATTTAATTGCAAAATATTTACTTCCGTGTCACTTAAGTTAAGAGATACAAAATCACTAAAAGAACATATTTCCTAGACTTTTTGCACAGGTCAAGTGGGAAAAGCATCAATTTCAATCTGTAGAGTCAAGTTTTCACCTTGCCAAATGACCTTGAATGCCGTGATTGGTTATATAATGCACTGCAGTTATATGAAATACTGTGCTCAGACTGGCATGAATCTGACACATCTTGCCAAGCTTTGTGTGAATATTTCATCTACAATCAAAACTGAAAAATCCTCTGTAATAATCACAGGGTAGTGTGGGTAATGTTGGGAAATTAGGGAATAACTTAACCTACCTTGAGCAAGGCATCGAGTAAAATGGTCCATGGCTGCCTTACTTACAGCATATGCCATGATCTTTGGAAACTGAAAAACATTTAGATGTTCTCTCATTTCAGGTATAAGATGCAATTTGGTGTTCACTAAGAGCCTCGAAGGGTTTTGTGAAAAAACTTGAGATGATCATGATGTCTCTGACTTAGTTATAGATTATAATGATCAAATGATAGAATATTGTCTCAACTTCCAAGATATTCTCATTATAATTTTTCTCCTGTCTTTTTTCATTTTTCATGTGGATAAATACATAAATGTGTCAAAAGACTGAAAAATATTTTGTAGGTATTTACATATATTTGTGAAGTAGCATTATTGATGCAATGGGGGTCTCAAATGATCATGTCAACTCCGACACAAATAATTTTGAATTGCTACAGCCTGTTTCAAGCGGCTAGAGTGAACATAATTACAACTCCCGTTTGCAGAGTAAAACATAAAATAAGTAAAGTGCAATGTGGAACAAATAGAAATAAAGCTGTTTATTAATAAAGAATATGACAATGATATGATCTAACAAAGATCTTAGTAGAGTTGATCAAAGAATTAAAGAGGCATTGTCTGATAAGAGTACAGTTAAAGTGCTCCTTGATATTTTTTCCATCTACTTGCCAACTGTCAGATTCTGACTCCTGCGTTTTGGGAATAAAGGACGATTCTTGGAGAACAGTCTCCTGGGCTAATAATTTTTTCATGAAAAATATAGAAATATTAACCAAATTAAACTATGAATATTCAAAAGAGGACATTTAAATCTACAAGATGTAAAAATAACAAATTGGTCTGAAGCAGGGATAACGCTCAATTAGACCGATTCAATAAAATACAAGTCTCGATTGGGGGAAAAACAGTGTACTGCGCTAATATTTTTTTGCGAAAAATCTAGAAATATCACCCAAATTAAATTATGACTATTCAAAAGAAGACATTCAAATCTATATTATGTAAAAAAATCAAATTTGTCCGAAGCAGGGATAATGCTCATTTAGATTGATGAACTTCATTCTCCAAACCGAGAATCGTCCTTTATGATAGGACTGAGACACTGAATCTTTTATAAACTGATCAGGGGTTAATTCATGCAAATTGTCTTATTCATTTTTTTTAAGAAATAAAGACATCAAAAGACCCCTACCCCTATAGGTGTAAAAAATATAAACAAAATTGGGTCAAAGGTACTTCAGTTGTCACCCAGATGGACTGATGGAGGCATTCCTTATATCCCTACAATGTTCGATGGGATAATAAATTAATATTACAAAATGAGTTATTGTTTAATAGGTAATAATAAAATATAAATTAGCTTACTGGACGTGGACCTGCAACGCTGGATACGTTCACTATTGCACCTAAAATGAACAGTGACTAAATAGAGCAAGGCATTAACATGCAAAATGTCACAGCCTGCCATTAGTTACAGATGCTACACACAAACCACCAAGCATCGTCTTTAAAAAAGCTGGAGACTATAACAATATGTTCTGACTTCTGGTGGTGACATAATAAATACAACTATGTCAAACTGATACTTTGTGTTTTAATCTTGAAGCAGAATGTGTTTATATACATGATCAAAGTTTCTGTGACATAGAAGTTTCAAGGCTACAAAACGAGTTAGTATGGACTTTCCAGAAGGCAAATATTTTCCAATAACAGTCATACCTTTTGTCTTTTTCAAGTATGGAACCACAAGCCTCGATAGTTCAAATGCTGAGCGCATGTTTGTGTTCATCATGCTGTCATACAATTCCATAGTTGTGTCTTGAAGGCCTCCTGTTTTGAGAGTTGCAGCATTGTTCACCTGTAAAATAAACTTTCTATTTAATGATAGATGTCACCCTGATTCTTAGCTGGGACTCAATTGGTTTTATGACATTTGATAACTACATGGTACAGTATTGGAATGGGATGGGGCACAATAAAAGATTTGCATTTTGCAAGGATGCAGTTGACTACTTGGATACTTATGGCGATGGCCTGATTAGTGAAGAAGAATTTGCAATGGCAATGCCCTTAACTGCTTTAATGGACCTCTTTAACTACTGATACTGTACAGTACTGTATATTACTTATTATAAAGTATATGTACATTTTGTCTATGTTTGTGGCATCCAATGTGGGATAACAAATTAGTTTTCAATATTGTTCATCTTAAAATCTTGTTAAGTATTCTAACATTCTTACTCTCAAATGGTGATATAAACCCAAGCATGGGCTTTCAAGTTTCTCGATTTAAAAAATTAAAAGCCCATGATCCAAGTCCATCCTCCAACCAAAATATTATGGAAAATATTATGGAAACATTAACAGTATACTACCCATTGATGAAAAAGTCCACCAGAGTTTAGCTACTCACAAGCACATCAAGTCTGCCAAACTTCTGTAAAGTATATGTAACGATTCTTTCTAAATCTTCTGTAATTGTGACATCGCCCTTTGTAGCTAAAATCTGGAAATATACATATGATTATTTAAGTGACAAAATGGATATGAAATTTGAATTATAACATTAACAATGAATAAGAGAGGTGTGTCTAGTCTATCAGGATTAGGTTTCAGGAATCCCAAAAAAATGAAGAATAACGAAGGGGTCCATAAATAATTCTCTTTTATCAAATTTTATGATATAAGAATACATTAGTAATATCAATTGCATATAGGAAAGTATATGCCATATTCCGCATAACACCATGCACATATAGTTATTCTGCAGTTTTTGGCAAGCACTGGATTAGGATATCAAGCGCATTAGAAATAATGACTGGCACGCGTTGTTATTGTACTCATCTGAAAATAAGGATTAATTACATTTAGTGGTGCAAAAATATACAATCACACTATTGTACAAAACATGATTCTAGTGTATTACTGCATGACTATCTCAGAATTGGTTTTGGTATAAAACCAGTGAATCGTTCTGCATAATCAGCTTACTTTCTTGCCCTCTGTACTAGTGAACAATTTACATTCCTTGCACCCTGTATTGATCAACTTTTGAAACTTTGTACCCTGTACTATGACATATCAAATATTTTAAAATTAAAATGATAACATTTATATTCTTCCTTCAACCATCATGTATAACTTTGAACATGGACTATTTCACCATTGAAGTTCAGCGAATAACAATATTGACTAACTTAAAATGTACTGTACTTACATTTGATTCATCATTACATGCTTCAATGCACAAAACCTTTATCTTGTTAAGTCGTTCTTCATTTCTACCAGTGATTGAGAGTTTAGCACCTAAGGATGCAAAATGTTCAGCACACGCTGCACCAACCCCTGCACTTGCACCTGAAAGTGATATATAGGGGACTTGAAAAATCGGAACCCTGCTAAGAACATTAGGTACCCGGTCAGGCCTGTAGCCAGGATTTGCCAAGGGGGGTTCAGTTTTCAAAAATTTCCAGGGGGGGTTCGCATTTGACAATTTTGGTCCAAATATGGTTAAAATCATTTGAGAAGTGCTCAAAATGGTGAAAAACTGCATGATTTTGAAAGAATTTTGGCCAGGGGGGGGGGGGGTTTGCCCGAACCCTGCAAACCCCCCCCCCCTAACCAAACCCGTCTGGCCCAGTTATCTACTCCCAAAGTCTACGGGCTGCCGGTCATCTAGTTATCCAGCTACCCAGTTAATATGCAACCCATTTTCATTACAAGAGTGACAATCATAAATTATCCATGTTGGTCAATAGTAGCGTTGTCGCGATCGATACATCGCGATATACATCGCCAAAGCTGATTCTGGCGATGCTTCGATGTCTGAAACAAAACATTGATGTTTTTAAAAAAAATTAATTTGCTAAAAATCTCACTTTCTTATCTTATTTTGATGAAATTGCTTACCTTTCTCATGTCTTGTCTATGTCAATAATCTGCAATGTTTACTACTGAAAATTGCCGATGCATCGATGTACTTTTATGGCACAACGTGACAACACTAGTCAATAGTGCTTGCGCAATAATGTTCATTGTATAAAATTATCCCACCTGAACTAAATATTTAATTGAAACGATATACTAGTATTATCAACAATGCATGATCTGAGCTAACCTTCGTCTTGCAGTTTTACACCAATCATAAATCTCTGTGTGCTTTCTTCTGCCTTATATGAGGCATGTAGTGATAATAAAATTTGAAATCAACCAGCCACCATTTTTTCATTTCACAATTTTAATTGCGAGTTCTGGTTTTATTACCTCACAAAAACTTTCAAAACACACACGAAGTGATCAATTTAAGGTGACTGTTAACTTAATTGATTTTCAGAAAAAATTGAAAATTTCACAATCTTGAAATTTTCAAACTCTTCCTGAGAAGTCGTTTTTATTATTTCACATATTCTTGTGCACTGTAATCATTACAAAGACATCAAAGAACAACAAAAAACTTTAGTTTGAGAAAAAAGTGCCGTTTAAAGAATTTGAGAAGATTTTTTTCTAGGAGTAGCCCGTGAAAAACCCCTGATTCAATATATCTGAACATTTCAGAAAATATACTTCAAACATATATCAAAAACGAAGGAGCAACGGAAATTTGAAAAATTACCCAATAAAAAAATTGGGATCAAAATAAGGAAAAAAGTACACTTCTCAAATTGTTTCTTCTCAAATTTGTATGAGAATTTTCAAAATTCTAAAGCTCCTTCCATTTTGAGCTATATTAAAGGGATGTTTCAGAGAAATTAGAAAAAAAATGTTCAGGGACCTTTGCCGTGCTACTCTTTTTGTCAATTTTTCTGTCACATTTTCAGAGGACTCAAATTCCCATTCCAAAATGTTTACTGTTTCTATTTGCATTACCACAGTGAGCCTGGTTATATAAATGATAAGTGGAACTAAAAATTTGAGAGAAAATCCAACCAAAAGACAGTTAATTTTGATGGTCAGATTATACTCAAATGACATGTGCTTCCTGGTTTCGGCCATCTTGGATTTTTTGATTAAGTTATTAGTTACCTTAAGGTGCTACGGAAGTTAACAGGAAATGACAAAACAGGAAGTGACAATTTTTTTTGCATTTTTAGACATTTTTTGAACAAAGATAACTGAGTTCTGTTTTGACCTCCAGTCAATTCAACTAGTTCCAAATACCATTTACAGGTCCAGGATCACAATGTTCATGGTCAGAATGACCCTAAACATGATGAAATAACCTGTTAAGCACTCTGAAAATGTGACTGAAAAATAGCTAAAAGAAGGAGGTAGGAAAGGTCACTGAACAGAATCTTTTGAATTTTTCAGAAAATGTGCCCAATATATTGCTCTAAATGATACAATCTTTGAAAATTTGATATCATATAGAAAAAGAAATAAAACGAAAAAAAAACTGATTTGAAAAGCAATCTCTTTTCCTTTTTATGAACGCCATTTTTGTTTAAGACAATTTTCTAAAATTTCAAAGATTGTATCAGTTAGAGCATTATATTGGGCATATTTTCTGAAAAATTCAAAAGATTCTGTTCAGTGACCTTCCCTAGCTCCTTCTTTTAGCTTTTTTTCAGTCACACTTGCAAAGGGCTAAAAAGGTTATTCTGACCATGCACATTGTGATCCTGGTCATGTAAATGATATGTGGAAATAGTTAAATTGACTGAAGGTCAAACCAGAACTCTGTTATCTTTTTTCAAAAAATGTCTAAAAATGCAAATTTTTTTGTCACTTCCTGTTTTGTCATTTCCTGTTAACTTCCATGGCACCTTAAGGTCTCATGGAAGTTAACAGGAAATGACAAAACAGGAAGTGACAATTTTTTTGGCATTTTTAGACATTTTTTGAACAAAGATAACAGAGTTCACTTTTGAACTCCAGTCAATTCAACTAGTTCCAGATACCATTTACAGGTCCAGGATCACAATGTTTATGGTCAGAATGACCCTAAATATCATGAAATAACCTTTTCAGCCCTATGAAAATGTGACTGAAAAATAGCTAAAAGAAGGAGGTAGGAAAGGTCACTGAACAGAATCTTTTGAATTTTTCAGAAAATGTGCCCAATATATTGCTCTAAATGGTACAATCTTTGAAAATTTGATATCATTCATAGAAAGAGAAAAAAAATGAAAAAACTGATTTGAAAAGCGATCTATTTTCCTTTTTATGACCGCCATTTTTGTTTACGACAATTTTCTAAAATTTCAAAGATTGTATCAGTTAGAGCATTATATTGGGCACATTTTCTGAAAAATTCAAAAGATTCTGTTCAGTGACCTTCCCTAGCTCCTACTTTTAGCTTTTTTTCAGTCACACTTTCAAGGGACTAAAAAGGTTATTTCATCATGTTTAGGGTCATTCTGACCATGCACATTGTGATCCTGGTCATATAAATGATATGTGGAAACAGTTAAATTGACTGGAGGTCAAACCAGAACTCTGTTATCTTTGTTCAAAAAATGTCTAAAAATGCCCAAAAAATTGTCACTTCCTGTTTTGTCATTTCCTGTTAACTTCCATGAGACCTTAATGGTTCATAATCTTTGGCCAAATTTTTTTTCTGGGCCCACCCAAAGGGGTATCGTACACAATGTATCGAATATTAATTATGGTTCGCCATTACTAAGGCCCGCCGTTATGACGTCACACATTACTTGTATTACCAGGGGTATTGTTCGCGAATATAACCCTGGCGAAATATTGACTTTGTTCACAGTTTATAGAAGGCGTGAATACAGTCATGTTCGAATATATATTATTGAACAATGGTTTTAACTACCGCACGGTGGTTCACATGCCATGTCTTCTAGCCAAGTAAGCTCAAGTAGCCTAATTTGGCTATAAACGAGACTCGAGTAAATCTGAACCTCATCAGAGATGTTGCAATTTCAATCCTACTGGACCAATACACTGTAGTTTTGAAGCTGAATAATGATACTGACTGTGACTGTAAGCGACCCTGTGGTAAGGGAATGGATCCACCCAATATAATCAATGTCACAAAGAAGAGGTCACAAAGAGCAAGGGTCACAGAGTTTTCTTTTAGATTAGTATCCTAGAAATAAAAAATGCTTCAAATGTAGCTCATGACAAATGTTAAGAAATACTTACCAGTAATTAGTATAACTTTATCTTTCATTGATGTCATTATAACTACAATCTTATGGTTGAAATGAACTAAATAATGGTTTGAAGATTCATCAATTATGATTTACAAGAACCGGATGTCGATCAGATCGATATAGCGAATACAATTCCAACTACCTTTATCGGTTCTTGAGAAAAAAGCAGAGTGGAGAGTGTCAGCGAAAAACTGTTTCAAATTTGGTAGGCTTATTCGGCATTTCAGACATGATGTGACACGGTATTACACAAATTAACAACCTAAGCTTATAGGGACATCCTAAGGAAACCCCGATTCATAATTTCCAGAAATTCTCATGGACTTGATTCAACTTTCGAAACTTGCTTCCAACCCATCTTACCAGAATCGTAAACAGGAATTCAATGTTTGTTTTATTTCTCGATTTTCGCCTTACCATGGGCCTTCAAGAGAGTCTGTTGAAAGCCAATGGACTTACTTCACTCATCTTGGTGACCGTTGAACTTGCACAGCTACCGTGGTAATTGTATCTATTCAGCCTCATTTGACTGTAAGATCCAGTCGCAATGGATGACGTGATCAGAATTATGTACATCAGTCTATACGATGACTAATCAAATAGCATGATATTGATCACATGATCTATCCGAAGCACACGTTTTCCAAGAGTTAACCAATGATGCCTGTTTATGAAGAGGTGATCACATCAGTGACCTTCTGCAGTAACTTTCGAAAGGAACGTTGACTCAAGTCAGTGGAAATTCTAGTGAAAACTTTCACTAGAATTTCTCACAACAGAATGTTGCCTGCTGCTAATGAAACCCCTGCCACAAATAAACACAGTATGATTTTGCGGTATTCCTGTGTCATTACATCAAGGCCCTGATTTTACACAATTGACAAAATTACAAATGAATGATTTTCATGTAATTGAACTTTGAGAAAGAAGTCTTAAAAGTCCATGGTATAGATCATGGAAGTAGTTTTCTCAAAAATGTTTTTGTTTCACATATACCTAAGCTATAGTTCCATCACTTGAACATTCAAAAATGTATTTCAACCAGCCTCCGCTAGGCGATTTACAGTTGTTCAGAATTTTGCTACATGCCTCAATTGAGTCGCATGTTATTTTTCAAATACGAATCACTCATTCCCCACATTCTCTACATCTTTCAGTTTTGCACAAATAGTGCACTAATTAACCTAGAAAAGACTGGTGAGAAGAATTATTTTGTAAAATGTATAAAAAACGAGAAAATTCAGTGTTAGAATTAAATTTGGAGCCCCCTGTTGCTTAATACTTGGGAGATTAACATGTTCATGTGTTTGCAGATTGACCTTCTTGTTCTTTGTGATACACATGCACATAATGGGCATATACAGTCCCCGGAAGAGCTCTATGTATATGTACAGTAGGACTGAGAGACGGAGTGCCAATCAACCTGAGAATGACCATCAAGCTAGAATTCATGAAGAATGGAAGATGACACGATATTTGATGTTAAATGGGAACAATAGCAACTTAGTCGAGCAGTGATATGTTAATTATAATATTGATGTGTATCTGCCCAGTTATCATCATCATCATCATCATCACTCAAATCCAAGAGAAAGATGGAGTCATGAATATAGTACGACAATACATCTATAGATGTCAGGTAAGTTCATTTTTCATTAATTTTGATTGAGAATCTACTCATATTTTCCATGCTATACTCCTTTATTTATATTTTATATAATAGCATTATTTTAAGTAAGCATATGATTGGTTCAAATTGATAAGCATGATCAGTGTAGCCAGCTTCTTATAGGATTGACAGGCCACTGAACTACATACATGCATGTATATATATTTTTTGCAGTGTACATGTAGTGATAAAGCCTCCATTACATTGAATAACCGTGTTGTCAATATGTAGTTAACACTTCCACCACAAGGTTGCTAACTCAGGTCTGGTTACAAATTCAGATTTTGAATTATTGAGCTTTATTGTATTTCAATCCTCATCATGGGTCATATACATAGATTACTTTAACGAATATATGTACAGATATTCCTTTAGGTGGAGATGAGGTATACAGTATTGGGAGGGGGAAGGGTAACAATGGCATGAGGCAAGACTAAGTAGTTACCATAGGCTTTTCATCAATAACTTCCTATTGCACCCATGGACTTTTCCTGATTACAATGTAGGTTCTCATAGCCTATGTATGACCAATGTCAAAATGAATCTCTTGTTTCACTTTTGATTAATCCATGGGCTTTCAACAAATGATTAAACAATAAACTTTTGATGATTAAAGAACATGTATATGGGACTTTCAGTATGCCCAACAATTTGCCAAAATAGTTCTAATTCTGCAGAAGGAATTTCTCTATCTGGGAAAGCTGCATCTTGTCAAATATGTTTATTTACATGAGTGCTGGTATACATTCCTAATGAGCTCCAATTAGGGATTTCTTTTTATAAATGAAACTTGGCATCATATATCCAAGTCAAAATCCCAATTAGAAATGTTATATGCATTTATTAGACAGTACCTTATCAGAAGATATTGGCTTCAATTAGTGAGTAATTAAGGGTTTCGTGTCATTGGAGATATTTCTTCCTAATTTTAGATTTTCCTTGTTTGTTGTTCTTCCCTAAGAGTTAGTTCCATTGGTGCTTTATGGATATAAAAACCTAATTAAAAAATGAGAAATCTCATGTTCAGATATTCCTTGAAGTAATAGGGAATGTTATAATGGCTAGTCTTTGCTTAGATTGATTGTTTGCTTGTTCATGTTGCTTGTTTGTTTGCTTGTTTGTTTTCTTGTTGATGTTTTATGGATTCTATAGACAATGCTAAGGAACCAGACCAGGTCAACATTCAGATGTCATGGGGCGTAGCCAAGGGGGTGCGATGGGTGCGATTACCCCCCCCTCACTCACACACCCTACAAAAAAAGAAGAAAGCAATTTTGTAAGATTTGTTGAAAAAAACATGAACAAATCATAGTTTGAAATGCTTAGAATGCACCATAAATTTTAAAAAAATTCCAGGGGTGAACCCCCATTTTTGGTGCTCACCTCGCTCGCGCTGATGAAAACTAAAAAAATCGCACCTCTTGTCAATGGCTGGCTACACCCCTGGGACCTGGGTGTTGTTTTGAAATGTAATTATTTAAATTTTATATTGGCGTGACCACATATCTTTCTCAATTATATGGATGATTATTGACATTTTTCAATTTTTAAAATGGTGATGGCAAGACATGTCAGCATTGCCGATGGTAGATTAGTCACAAAACCCACAATTGACAGTCTGTGTTTAATTTGAGCAAATTATGTTTTTATTTCATTCAATGATTAAACATTAAACATTCAGATGAAAAGATTTGTTGACTGGTGTCATCTTGTCTAGTTGTGTCATCTTGCATATTGATGGCATCTTGCCCAAATGTTGCCACATACATACAAATGTACTCTCATGGAGTTTTACAGAAACTAAGTCCAGGGCACAGTTAATTATACATGTGATATATCATAATTACTTAAGTGTAAGTTAAAAATCTTTTCAGATGAGAAATGTCAGATTTTTTTTTTATGTCACCACCACAAATGGTGACATATTGTTAGTCTCCAACATTTTTTTGCGGTGGCAGCCAGGGGTTGGTGTTTGTTGATTGGTGCTAAGTATTCAGTGGCTGGTGTTTGACATCTGCACCAAATGGCAGGTGGTGACATTTTGGATGTTAATACCTTGTTTATGAAATTACAATGGTCATGTGTTTCAGATACATTGACATGATATTTGATATTGGGAGGTGCTCGGATTAGTGAGTTACATTTAGTCTAAATATCAGTATTGGGGCAACAGGAAAAAATGTAGGTGTTCAAATCACCAGACTGTTTTGTGCCTAAATTCCCCGAAGATATGTTAACTATAGAGAGGTTTGACTGTAATTATAATAGCCACATAGAATTCACCAGTATATCCCAGATGCAAATAAAGAATGATAAAAATATCAATTTTGTAATAAAACCAATCCAATAAAAAAGTACTGGGAGTATTTGTTTAGGTAAACCAGTAACGTATTTAAACAAGGTGTAAGACATCAGAGGAATTGTTTACTTCAACTTGTGTTTACTTAGTTAATAAAACCCAATTAGTGAATTGATAGGGTGCCTAACTAAGTGTTCAGATAAAAATGTGTTGTAAGATGTCTCTGATATAAACTAGAGGGGAGGGGGATTAAAAGTTCTTCATCAAGAAGATATTGTTTTTAACACTCAGTTTCTAGGATAAAAATTCTTCATGCAAAATTAATAATTTTTAAATTGGCAGAAAAAAATTCTGGCGGAAAAAAATAATGTGCATGATCATGTGTAATATTACATAATATGTAATTAATAGTTACTCATTCTATAAAGCTGAATCAGCTAATAAGAGAGGAGCCTTTTCAAAGTATCATGCTTTTTTGTATCATATTATTCCTTGTCATGCCTTATTTGAAAAAACATCAATGTTTTATGATGAATTGGCCAGTTGGTCCCAAAACCTGCATAGTAAAACATAATGAGAGCCCCAACAAAAAGTTTAATAAGGAGATCCCTAACTAAGAGCGCAGTGATAGTCCAAACTTAAAGCTTGATGAGAGCCTAAATTAAAAGCTTAATGAGAGCCTAACTAAAAGCTTAGAAAGAGCCCTAACTAAAAGCTTAATAAGATCCTTAACTAAAAGGTAAATGAGAGCCCAAACTAAAAGTTTAATGAGAACCTTAACTAAAGGCCTAATAATGAGATGGCCAACAAAAAGCTAAGTGAGAGGCCCAACTAATAATATAGTAAGAGCCCTAACTAAAAGCTAAGATTGATAATGATGGGGCTAATGATAAATGAGAGCCAAACTAAAAGCTTAATGAGAGCCCCAACTAAAAGATTAGTCAGAGAGCCCCAGCCAAACTCTTAAAGAGAGCCCCAACTAAAAGCTTATTTAGAGCCCCAACTAAAAGCTTAATTAGAGTCTTAACGGAAAGCTTAATGAGACTCCAAACTTAAAGCATAGTAAGAACCCCCATGTAAAAGCTTAAAGAGAGTCCTGACATAAGTGCACCATTATCAGGGACCACTAAACATATATTTG